TACACAGTACCTTAGTAGGTGCCTACCAGGAAGTGTACCATGGATCGTATTGTACCTGCAAAGATACTAAAGATACCGGCATACCCGCTAGAGGTGGGGGCTTGGTCCTCCAGATCAGGCCTAGTGCCATGGATACTTTCGACGAGGCTCCCCCGTGGATGGAATTGCATCCTGGACTTGGTCTGTTATTTTTCGGTCGCACTGGACTGAAAGATGGAGTATGTATGCACTCAGTATGTCGACTCTACGGCCTCCCTAGACCGAAACTCTGAAGCAGGAAGCTTGTTCAGTTGAAACCATGACAGCTGGCAGAGACAAAGTCTGTCCAGTTCCAAGTCACCGTCAACAAGGTTACTGTTAAGGGGTATGTAGTAGAAGAAGCGGACCCAACCAACCCATCCATTGTTTGGATCGTAACCGATCCGGTAAGTATCGGTCAGCAACGGAGTACATCTGTCCATAATAATAATAAAAGCCCATACTCCAGGCAGATGATCCATACCTAGCCCAAATTGTGAAATACCAATTCCGATCTGCTAGGAGCTTTTTTCCTAGTCAGCATATGCTGACGATGTGGCGCCACCTCAGGAAAATATCTGCGAGCCTCTTTAATCGTCACATCGAACGATAAAACCAGGAAGTTCTCGCGATATACGGAGTATCTGTAATTGACTAACGTCGCGATGCGGTACATTTATTTTACTCTTATTTTTTTTAATAAAGGAGCAGGCAACTCTGATCGAACTCCTACCTGCGGAGTCCTCAGTAGGAACAACCTTGCCTAACTCTCTGCAACAGCGTCCCCGTTGCTCGAGTGGTCCAGACCGGGAAAAAGAAAGAAAAAAAGAAAAAAAGAAAAAAAACCAGATGTCCGCGTCACTCTGTCTGACACACAGCAAGCCACGTATCACACCGTACACATCCATGGATACCCAGTACCACCTCTAGTTTGGAGATGGAAGGACTGCTTACCAAGCCACTTCTCGCTGCTAACTAACTATCAGCTACCTATCAACCTAGAAGCATCAACCAACCGACCGTCCCAACTATCCTCCCCCAGAGAAAGGGATCTACCTAACTGCTCTGTGCCGCTTCAGCCTTTAGTCACTCGACTGTCGAGTAATCTGTACACTCTGTGATGCTCAGTATGTGAAACAATGCCATGGACGCAGATCCTAGCCCTCTAATTGGTCTTGGCTGGGGCGCAACGGAAAGATTCCAAATGTTACTGGATTGTTTACTGAGTACGAGGGCTGGAGGATGCAAAATGCAGATGGCTTTTCTTGCTCTCTCTCTCCCCAGTATCCACCCAGCTCACCTCAGACGTCCCCGAATAGACGAGAGAACTTGAGGTTTTGGAGTTTTGGACCCGCGGTCGCACAGGACAACCTCTGATCAGGGAGGGATTCTGACAAGTGGAGTGTGACTGTCCAGTGGTCAACTCGTCAACAAATGATTTTGGCCCGGCAGGAGGTCTAGAAGGATGACAGATGCACTACGGAGCGTTTGCTCTGTATGATGTAGATTATTCGGTCTTCCTTTATCCAGACTCCGGCCAAGCCGGTAACGCCTTGTATTGCAGCCAACCATGGAAGTGGACCCGGCGGTTTCAGCCCGGCCTCCCGTCCCAGAAAATCCAAGGATAGCAACGCGCAGAGGATCCACGCGAGACGAGCCATGTCAAATCGCACCCGAGTCTCGTCCTTGTTTTTAACCTGTCCACTGCCGTACTCCGTACCGGCGTACGGAGTACGGATACTTCGCGAGCCATCCTGGTCGTCTTTCCGATGAATGGGCAATCATACATCATGTTTACGTAGACTTGCTTGATCATAGATCTAGATCTCACTGTCTAGACCTTAGGGTGTCCTACCCGGATCTCCCAAAGCAGCCATCCCATTCGTTCCCCTGTGCGGAAAATGTGCGGTATATAATCGGGCATGTCCGCAGGGACGAGGACAAGAAAGAAACGATCGACAAACCTTCCAGCACCGAGCATGATTCAAGGGAGAGATGGCAGTTCCTTATTGACAACTGTTTGTTATCTACGGAGTACACACTTCGGGCCCATCCACCAGATGCGTACCAAGGAAAGATGGTCGGATCCGGATCCAATGAGATGGGTTGAGACCGATAGCATGCAGGCCAGCCACCTCCTCAGCACATCCAAACGTGATGTGGACTCCGGCACATTTTCTATCTGGGTTGGGAGCAATGGCCAATGTCCCAGGCAATGGTGATACCTACGGCCCGAAGCGGAAGACGATCAAGAGTTAACCTTCCAGGCCGACATACCGATGCGCATACCTGCCCCTCGGTCGCATTGTTTCTCGGAAGGTCCCCCTGCTTAGATAGTGAGCGAAAAGCACATGGTCGGTCGGATGACAACAAGCTGCTTACTGCCCTGGTGGTCAATCCGATCTGCATCGGCTCTACGCACCCCATCCCTGGAGTTGCGCCATGCTACTGTACCACCAAGCCTTCGAACTGGGAACTGGAAAACAATCAGTCCATGCGTACATACACCGTACATCTGCCTGCCGTATCTCTGGTTATCTGCCATCGTGATGCGTGCGGCATCAATTCTGAGCCAATCATGCCAGCACGATCCGCTAGTCTCAGAACTGACTCGGAGCTAAGACGAACGATGACGCCAGCCCTTGAAGGCATCATGGACTCTGGTCCTGATAGCGAGCAAAACCCCGCCTTTTGCTCTTGTTTGTTGTTCTTGACTGGAAGGAGCATGCGATGTAGTTGGTAGATTATTATTCTCGCAACCTTGGAACTTGTCGCTAGCCTCGACGGAGTCAGTTTCCACCTCGCCCAAGAATGCACCTAGGCCAGTAGGCATTCAACGGACGCATCCCTTCGGCGAAACTCTGATGTATGATGTTTTGCGACCGCAGAATAGACCACAAAGAGAAAATACAATTCAATCCCCGCTTTCCAGACGCAAAAAGTATCAAATAAGTCCGAGTTCTTACTTCGGGTGGCTTCGTGGTCTTATGTATCGTGCTCGTTGGTTTGCCGATAGCATTCCATTCCCAGCTTTCGCCATGCAGTCCCCAAGGAGGGGTTCCTGTTTATCTTCAAACTTTACTATCAGGCCGACGATCGCCAGTCAATCCGAATTCTTGTTCGCAGCCTAGACCAACTCCGTCAAAGCAAAATGCAAGATGTTTTGTTTATGAGCCTAGTGTTTACATTCCTTTACTGACCTCTGTAACGCGCTCCAATACCTTATTTTATTTTATTTTCGCCTATCACAGGAGATCTCCCCACCTTATCTCGACCTGTACAGGCAACTGTCCTGCGTGTCTGCTGCGTAAACAAATCAACAAGTATCATAATATTGACATTTCTTGTATAGTTTCCTGTCCTTTCATACCTACCTATTTAACGAACACTCCGCATTGACCTAACCATTACACAATCTTAGCCGAGTGGTATGTACCTGAGTCAAGATCTACCTCGAATGGGCCATGTCTCTCGGCAAAGGGGATATTAATTAAGAGCTGAAAGGCGACATGTAGTCTACATGCGACAAATTTCGCTTTCGAATAATACAATCGCACCTAATCTAAAGTGCATTTGATGAAAGCCAAGCACGGAGCTAATTAATGCAGGGCAGAACTTAACAATCAATACCTTGGACTTTTTATCACCTCAACCGTAAACAACCCTTTTCCGATGTACGGAGTACATAATTATATTTGCCCTCTTGACGGTAAAGATCCCTTTCTATCATATTTTGAATTACTCGATACAATAGTTATGAGCAATGAACATTTAACGAGCAAGAAAATTACATCCGGCTTGAATCGCCTTAACTCCGAAGAAACCCTCGGAGCCAAAAGCAAAGTGTGAAAAAAAGAAAAGAAAAAAGAAAAGAAAAATTACATTGTGGCTTGAAAGGATAAAAAGTGGGATGGGAGTGAAGTCAAACGCCGATCCCTTACTGCATCCTGTACGGAAAACGGAGACGAAATGAATATCTGCACGTCGGAACACACAAGACAATTTACCTCAGGTACTATCTTAATATCGAGTCAAGAAAAAAAGAAAAACCATGACGATATCAAAATCATCCATCCATCAACAACCAATCTATAAAAAACAAAACATCGGGATCAGGAATAGAAAACACCACCAGACTATACAAAATAGTCTGTCCTCCTGGGCCCCTCCCTCCTCCCCCGTAAAAATAGAAATCAATAAAAAATCGTGGCTTATATATAGCCTATAGGTCTCATCCCGTGTTATGCCCCAGTTTTATGTGGGGGCTTTAATTTACTCCTGTGGCGGTTTTTTGATGTCATTGACCGTCATTATTGTAATTTCCACCGTTGCATTCGGGCCTTGTTGGGGGCGTTGTATGTAATTAATCTTTTCCCTATGGAGGTTTCATGTTATGAACTATACCTTATGCATTGAGTATATCCAAGTTGTGTCAATGAAGGGGAGAATAAGAGCTATCAAGGCTCTCTCTCTCTTCCTCAACATGGGTCTTAATAATATTGACTGCTTCCAATTAAAGTCTATTTACATTTACATGTACCTGCGTACATACTTTCGGACATGGAATGTCGGCCTCCATCAAGCATCCCCGACCATGTCGAATTCAAGTCTAGTCCGAGACTAACAGCTATTTTAGAACACAAAGAGAAGAAGAGATCCGATGACCACTTCCCTCCTGCTGACAAACACATACCTTTCCAAATCGTGTAGGTAACCCTACTGGACCTCTCAGCTTCGAAAACCTTGAAATGACTTTACACCTCGGATGACCAATCACTTTGGCGATCGGTTCGGATTGTGAGACATTTCGTTGATGGTGGATTGGATGGATCACGTAGGTGGGTTTGCTTTTTGCTGAGGTGCCCTGGCTGGCGGTCCTTTTACGGTACTCGATAGTATTGAGGGATTCGATTCGATCGCGTCGGGTTTCTTTGGGGTTGGGGGGTACGATCTCATACCTATGGGAGGGATAGGGTGGTGCTTTAGTTAGGGAATTGGATGGTATGCAGTGCTCTGTACTCACGCGTCTGCAGCTGGTGCATGAAGTCTGAGTAGATCTTTAGTTGTCAGTAGTGCTCCGTGGTCTGTACCGAGTTGTCAAGGATGCATAGGGTTTGGCCGTTGCAGCGTACGCCCGGGAGGCTGCTGGTGGCGTATGTTCGGACGATTGGCATGGATCAAATGAATGTAGAAGTCTTGTTATATTCATGGATAAAAGAAGTTGCCCTGGATCATTCATTCCAAGTATATTCTGTAGTACCGTCTGCCTAGTAGGACGCCCAGAGCTACTTTTGCCTGTCGTTTCGTATTCCTCATAATCATAACCGAAAGATTTCATGAGATGGTTCGTATATTCAAGAATTCAATGTGAGAGGCGATCTCATCTCCTTCCCGAACGAGGTCGTCCGCGATCTTCCACTACCATCTCTCGTTCCTTCATTTTCCTTCTATCCCCAGACTTACGCGGAGGGGACATCGGTCGATCCAGTAGTAAGGGAGGCGCTTTATCGGGAACAGGCATGGGCGGCGGATGCTTCAAAGCTCGCTCGCGTTCCATTTCCTGTATCCGACGGCGTCGAGCACGTCGGATGTCCTCAGAAAGCTCGACGAGGGAAGAGACATCATCCTATATTCGAGGGGCTGTCAGTGAGGAGATCGGTAACCTAAGAAGCCTGGATAGATAGACTCACGTATTGAAGGTATGAAAACACATAGTAGGACGAAACAGTCTCCTCGTACTCGAAGCCCATTCTTTCGATGGCTTCCTTCACAACGAGGTCCTTCGTGATTTCTGTCCAAAGACGGTCTCGGCGGTCCTTGACCCCGACATATCGTCGTCCTATCTTACCACGGTCAAAATCTGCATCTCCATCAGAGATCTTCTTGTCGCTCATAGTGAACTTGGACCTCCGATCTCCTAACTGTGGCAGCTTGTTACCTTTGTATTCCCTGGCAATATCTCTCGGTATATCTCTCGTTTTCGCAGAGGCATTCACAAGTGCCCAATCTTCAGCCACGTCTTTGCTGACAATCTCCTTTGGGGCTCGTTCAGGCATTCCCTCATCATAGGTTTCTTCGATGATCTCTCGTTCTTCAACGAAATCTCCCTTGGGGGGGCCCCGCTCACGGATAAAAAGATCCTTTTCGCGCTCCAAGGACCGCGGTCTGGAAATAGGTATGGCGATTTCCTCCTTTCGCCGACTTGGAGATAGTGTCCGAACTGGAATTGGCACAATCTCCTTTTCTCTTGTTTCAAGAAGGACCTCTTCACGGGGTGCTCTTCCCACGCTCTTCTCGCTACATAGGCATTAGCATACCAGCTCTGCAGGCATCTGTGGCTCCTAGAGTCTTACTGATGACGGCGTTTTGGCTTCTCAAAGCTGACTTCCGGGCTGGGTGGACGGGGTGCACGAGGCACTCCATATTCTAATAGTAGATGAGCACCGCTAGCCGTAACAACTTCAATCTCCTAGTTGCTTACCTTCACGAATATGCAAGTGTTCGGCGTCAAAGCCACGAGGATCTGGGGGCATGCGGACCGGCGAAGGCATCCTAGGATCGTCCAGCTCGGAAGGCGACATACCATGATCCTGTATGTAAACGTCTTCCTCCTCGAATCGATCCCTGGCCGGACCTCTTTTCCGCCTCTCTTTCTTAATAACAACTTCTTCATCTGGTAAATCGTCGGTAGATTCATAAACTTCGGTCTGATTTCCAGATGCCGGATGCGAGCGAGAACCCCTATGATGACGATGCTGATGGTGATGATGATAATGCCCTCGAGGATCCCGAATCTCATCCTCGATTTCGATAGGCCCTGGGCGAATATCGTCTCTCTCCACCCTCGACCGTCGTACTTTCCGTCCATCTTTCTGGCTTTTACTCCGCGGAACAAGCTCTTCCCTGATCTCCCGACGATGCCGCGGCAATGACCGCTCTTTCCTAGAGACAGGAGGCAACTCGACCTCCGAGTCCTCGCTATCCATATACACCTTCTCCGGCTCCAACCCAGACTCCGGCTCCACAGGAGAACTATAATCCTCGTTTAGGAAGACTTCGCGTTGCGGACGCCCACGCCGTCGAGCCTCGCCCCTTGCTCTCTCGAAGTTCCGCACCAGTTCCCTTGGCGGAGCCCCGATGCCATTATGTTCGCGACGGACCGGCAACGGCCGACGCTCCCTCGGGGGCTCGAATTCGTCGGGGAGAAACTCGGGCTCTGACCGGTCGCGCAGGTCGAGGCGTTCGAATTCCTCCATTGGCGTCGGGGGACTAGGTGCTCGCATGTTATATCTCAGATCAGGTCCATGGCGACGACCGCGCCTCGACCGCGGAGGAGGTATTGGCTCGCGGTCGTCGTCTTCGTCGAATAAATCCTCGTCATATTCGCGCACATGTCGTCGTGGCATGTTGGGTTGGTTGCCGTATATAGAGGGTTTTATCTGTCACGGCCAATTGGCTCAAGAGAGCAATCGATAGCGACGGTTGGGAGATAAATATAGGGGGTTTGTTTTTGTTTTGTTTTTTTACTCTAGAAGTTCCATTAGATAGAAAGAGGCTGGAACCACCGCCACAATCGTCTGCTGCGGGGTACTTTTTCCAAAGAAAAAAGAGCAGCAAGGTGAAAGTTACGGGGCTCTTTTGATAAGAAAGTGGTTAGCGCAATGGAAGAGGACTCTTTGAAAGAGAGAAAGAACCAAGTCATAAGGTTGTGCGACAGCTGCGGTCACTTTGCGCCAACAAGTCGGGCCTGGCAGGAGTCAAGTCAGAATGACCCCGCCGCTGTGCCTGCTGATGTCACGCCGCTGTCCTGCCGAAGTGCGTCCACCCCTGCGATTTGTCGGGGTTGGTGTGTTGGCAATCCGGGCGATGATCGAAATTTTAAAGTCCAGTTGTGGAATTCTTCTTATATGCTATTTTTGAAATTCCAAACTAGGATGGTTCTTAACAAAAATCGGAATTTGGTTGTGAGATAAGCTTCTGGGGCATCGAACCTTGGTCACATTTTCCAAGGTGGGTTAGCGGTCCGATTTATATATTGCAGCATATACTCTTGATGTACAACAGAACAACAGCTGTACCGGTTGAATTCTAATTGGCATATTCAGATGAAAATTGCTGAGTTGTCCACTGGAGCTTGTGACAGATGATTAGTAGTTTCACTCATGCGATGATGGCAGGGCTGCCTCTAAGAACAGCCAAAACAATGTTCAGCTCGCACGGCTGTGATGGTTCCCATGTTTATTTTGGCTAGAACAAGACTGCTCTCATTCCGCATCAAGCCGATGTCCTGGCGTCGAGCCCTGGTTTCTACATTAAGAGACCTCTGATGCACGGATAGACCGTTGAAGCATACGGTCACGAAGTACACCTTCTACCTTCGGCCATGTTTGCCCAGAGAAAACAATTTTTGGACAGACTAAATCATAAGGGAGACAGTTCCTGACTATCCAAACTTAAGTCGCATTTGCCCCTTCTCCGGTTTATCGCGATTGTTACGATTATTTTTGCCCCGAGCATTGGACGGTCCTGCATTGCTCGGTGGTTGAGGTACCTGGCTGGAAGTCCTCGCTGCTTGGATTTCTTGATTCTCCAGATCTTTGGCAAAGTGCCAGTCCTCATGTTCATCCCTCTCGGCCTCGGGGATGGGTTTGTTGCATTTATCACAAGTGTAAAGCCCAGATATCACCTGTGGCGACTGTGGCATAGGCGAATATGTATTAGGAGAATCCTCGGTCGGTCCTATTGCTGTCGCTTCATGCTCATCTGCATGGGGTTTCGTGACGGCTCCTGGCTGGCCGAAGAAGCGCCGTATTCCGTCGTTGCCATCTAATTTGCTCCGCTTTTCAGTCGGTAGCTGAGACTCGCGCAGATCTTGTGCATCGGCTTCTCTTTTGCCATAACCGACACGTTTGGCCTGTTCCCCGCGGAGAAGAAAGGACTCTATCGCCTGGTTCTTTGCCACCCCGTCTTCGAAACTACCCACGCTCAAAGACAAGTTTGCACAGGGCCAGGCTCGCCCATCAACAACAACCTGTCGCAGCAGTGTCTTCCCAAGCTCGAAAAGAAGGTTTTCGTCAATCGGAGACGAGCCGGGGATGGGGTTTTGGCGCGAATGAACCTGGGCCCCATGTCGGTGGTGCAAAGCAATAGTCTTCGGACGGCGTCTATTCTCAAGCACACCGTCTTCAACGAGACGGCCATATATGTCGGCTGCGAAGATTCTCAACCACCTGTCGGCCTGATCGACGGAGTTGATACTTGGTCTAAATGATTTTGCAGATAACATGGATTTGATCTGCGTTCGTGGATTGACTTCACTTCGATCATCCCCGCGGATAATATTGTACAGCCACGCAGCAGTATCGTCATCCAGCTTGGCTCGAAATTGCTCGAGGGGGACGGCTAGTAGGTCACTTACTTGCTCTGTGCCAAACTGAGCGGAAACTTGGTCCCCGAGCTTACCACCAAGCATTCTGATTTTGGTGAACTTGAACCCCCCAAGGAAGTTCTGGACGGCACGGTTGCGTACGATGGTTTGTTTATTGGGTTTGTGCGTGGAACTTCCTAGCTTCGCCATCATCTTGTTTCTGGCGACACCCGCGGAGCAGGTGTAGCTGAGATTTTCCCAAACAGCATTCCGCAGCGATCGGACCAACTCAGCCCCTAAGAGCATTGCAATATCATCCCAGTCGGGATCTTCTAATTCTGTCTCATTTTGATCCAAATCTATTAAACCGTCTTCAGGATCCCACTCCAAGGCGGCTGTCGGGGGCCGAGGCAAGCGCGTGATACGGTCATCGCTCTCAAGTTTAGTCCGCAATTCGGGATACCTCTGAAGCAAGAGACCATAGACCAATGGCGACAAGTCAACGAAAACTTCATCGACACTGGCTTTTTCGAGCGCGGCTTGCTGGATCTGAGACTGGGGCCCTAAACCAGTCTCAGCATCAAGCAGTCTCTCATACCACCTGGCCAAATCGTCCTTCATGACCTTCAGAATCTTCCTAGACTCTGCCCGATACGGGTCCAGACACACTTTGTCCGTGCTCATTTTGTGGAAAGCATCATCCCTATACGCCCATTTCCCACCTTCGCCCTCTCGGAAAGTCGCAACGTGTTGCAAAACAATATCAGGACAGAGTTTCGTCGCCTCCTTGGCAGAGATCATTCTCGTGATCCCAAAAGACCGAGCCGGGTAATTGATTGCGATCAGGGAATCCCACTGCCGCACGGCGAGGGGTTTCTCCCGCAGCGTCTGAAGCCGCACCATCTCACATTGTGCGTAGAAGGCATCGAGATCGATATGCGCTATAACTCGAAGGGGAGAGGCGGTCGAGCCCTGGCGGAGAAGCTGTAGCTGCCGGTAGGTGTAACGGGAATGTTGCTTCAAGGAATTATTGGGAGACGACGGCGATGCGACGAACGGTTCCGGGGAGGAGTGAGACATGTCGACACAAGTGATGCGATCGTCATAGCGGATCTCAGCTGCTGGCCATTGGATTCGGAGACAGTGGCCCTTCCGGGATGTAGATGTTGATTCTTTGGATCTTTCGTCGTCGCGAGGCTTCTGGTCGCAATCGAAGATCTCGAGTTCGGGACCCACCTTGGATACCCGGCTGAAATGGGTTTAGCGCCACAGTCATCCACGTTCCCGATCGGGATTAAAGCTCTTCTTTTAGGTAGTTATACAGACTTATCAGAGTACGGTTCATGATGCTTGTCTGCTTTGCCCTTTCTTCTACTCTACTGAGTACTATACTACTCCGTACTATCTATTCCTATTGCTTGAAAGCATCTGGGTGAGATAGGATGCCACAATTGGTCACTTTTTCATTTCAAAATGGGGTCTAAAGCACTTCACACTCGTCGAGACACGACATGGGAAGGAAGCACAACCAAACCAGCGCAGCGAAGAAAAAGGGCCGAGCAAAAAAATGTAGAATTGAAATGCAGGCACCACATGGCAACGGTAAATCTAGAAGAAGATGTTCTAGAAGAATGCAGTTCGAGATCGTCTTCTCCCGATTCAAGGACGGAGAGGCCATAGCACTGTAGAACAGACAAGAAACAAGATGTAAACCGGCGAGATGAGGATCAACACGGCACCAAATGTGGGCAATTGGGCATTAAGGTTTGGAACCAGTCCTCGCCGGAGTACTCACTCTGCACGCTTGGGTTGGACTCTTGAGCGGATCAGATGAAACGCCAGAAGGCTGTCACCTGAGCACTAGCCATCACACATTTCCTGTTTTACAAGGCTACACAGCCCACTGAGACTCGGGCAGAAGCTGAATGGTAGGTTCTTGAAAAACGATAGACAGTTCCAGAGCGAGAATACTCGGGCGAGGGCACCCTCATCGCGGACTGGGCAACCTGCCGCTTGGTCGCCGATGAATTTCCGTCCTAACATCATCGAGTGGAGACTGGCGTGAGACATCAAGCAATCCCGTGTTAGACAGCGGGCTCCTTGGGTCTTTGGAGAACATTTCCTTTCCACCCATTTGTCGCCGATGGATCTCCCGGTGAGGCATGACGGAAGGGGTCCTGCGAATGGGGGATTTAAGCAAATGAGAACGGTCGATTTTTGGCGGAATGCAACCGTAATCTCTTTAGCTGGTCCGGCAAGGCGACTACGCAGGTTGGATACAGATACTAATGAAGACCATGCAGCTTAAGAGCGACACCTGTACCGATGCCATTCGAGCGAAGGATGGGTCCACCGGTAGGGACCCTCACCGCTGGACTCGAGAAGTCGAGAACAATAATGCAGATTGACGGTGGGTGGGCGTTGAAGGGGGATGCACTGTACACCGTATGGAATACTGAGAGACTATCAATTAAAACGATTCATAGGCTGTTGCCGTTGAATCAGAGCATGATTGATTGACACACAAGGCGTTTTTGCAGGCCTCCATCTCCCAATACAATGCGTTGGAAAAGACCGGTCAAATGGGAGGCTGGGGATTCGAGATTCTATCGAGAAGCCACCTCGGCTGCGAAACTTGCATGGAAGGCCAGGAATCAACTAGAAAGAAAAGGAAACGAGAACATCAACGAATGCATGATGGAAACGATCATGCAGGTGGCCGAGTGTGTTTGATGGTGGTGATACCTAGGGACAAGTACCAGATACAAACCTTGCACCTCGACGGAGTAGGTCAAGAGCACTGGTATGACCTTATGCTACTCTATCCGAGGAATGTTTGTTTGGTAGAAAATCCCGGGAACAAAAGGTTCCACAAATGCTGAATAAACCAAAAGACAGTCCTCCGCACAATCTACAGTACGGAGTAGACAGCGTCTGAAGCCTTGGGTCGCGAAAGCTGGTTCTGCTGGTCCAAGGTAGTTACGACGGCTGAGTCAGCTCCCGAGCCGGTGCCTGTAGTTACCTGAAGGGCTACGGACTGAGGAGACTGATGAATGCCCAAAGCCGCCACCCATTTCTGCCCAACCTGCCACTCCAGCGCCATTGAAAATCTAACTGGCTGAGGTCGCTTCGACCACCAGAACAAATCAAGGTCTACGACGCAGGAGTACCTTGGGTACCCAAGGTACTTGCTCGCTTGCGGAGAGGTACCTGGAACCCGCGGCACCGCTGTTAGCCAGCCCGTGTACCTCCGTGCAGACCACTTGTCCCTCGCTGGAGGAGGGTCTGGTGCCCTTGACGCTGGAGATGCAGTTCGAACCTGCTCCGCGTTACGCTGCCTCCAACTCAATAATAATATTAGAATATGCCCATCTCCATCGGAAGTATTTATCCAAAGAACGGGGGGGATTCTCTTACCTGATTCTCCTTCAGCGCCTACCCCCCGTCACCATCACCATCACCCATCAATAATCCATGCACCGCACATACATACATACACCGTATGGTAGCAGCTCCTGTACTACCTTGTCACTGGAAGATCTTCGACATCACCCATTCTCCTGCGAGTGACTGGCTGAGTCATCGGATCGAGGCAAGGCGAAGCAGGCACGATGACAACATAAGGTCATGAAAAAGACTTGGGCAAGGACTCCTTTCTCCCCTGTTCTTGCCACCGCAACTTGAGACTATGGCCTCACCTGGGTATGAATGGTGGAGAGCATGGGAGGCAATTCAAAGCAGTGAGGCTTCGACGGTCAATAACGGGGCGTGATTGACAGATCAGGCTGAAGATTTTCAGATTTTCCCCCTCTTCATCAGGTAAGAATCAGATGGTTTCATACTGCTGCTAATAATAATGGATGGAGATGTGAGGGCAGGCAGAAACTGGCCCTTGACTGCCTTGAACAGCCCATTCTTTTATTTTTTTTCTTTTCCTTTCGAATTTTCGAAATCCCTTCTTATGATCAACGGTCATGGCGGCTATCCCATGACGCCACAGTCTGGACAATCATCCTCACAATATCTCATTGGTTTATACTCCATACGCTACCTTTATTTTCTTGATTATTATTGTTATTATTTTCATACATTAATTTATCGGGAAACTCTCCGTACGGTGTACAACTCTGTACCAAGGAATATTATGATAATCCAGATGAAAAGGGGGGAAAGGAATCACGTAAAGAAGCAGACGGCGAGGGACCGGAGACTCGCCTGTCGCACACACACCAGTCGCACACCACCCCAGCGTCTAAGCCCTATTCGTGCATGCATGCTTGCAGTCATCTTCTGCTTCAGTCAAATAATCGCCCTCAATCATCCTCGGTGGGTGGAGTCAGTCGTGGCACCAGACAGGAGCCAGGCAGCCCAAAGCCGGCCCAACAGCCCCAAGGACTAGCCAACCGCGCGTCGTCCAGTAACCTTTTCTTATTCTTTGGCCTTTCCCCATTTTCCTTTCGACCTACGCTTAATCCATATTAATCGTTCAGTCAATCAGCACAAACAACCCACAGCCCTCGTTCCCATCTTTCTGCCACCACACCCACTCCCTCCCCCGCTCCACTTCTTTTCCTCTTCTTATCTTCCCGTGCTCGTCTCGCCCGGTTCTTTCCTCTCTCTACCTCTGTCCTCTTCCTCTCTTCCTCGCTCTTCCTCCCTCCCCTCCTCTCTTCTTCTTCCTCCCATATCTTATTCTGGCATCATAGCCAAAGTTAAAAAAGAGGCACAGGAAGTGTTGAAATCAGTAACAATACTGTTAAAGGCAGATTGTTTCCCCCTCGAAAGAGTCTCCACTGAACCCCCTCCCCTCTTAAAGGCCTTCTCGCCTCTCCTGCCACTCTTCTTTTCTCTCACTCTCTCCTCTTCTCCTCTCTCCGTCTAGGACTCCCGGTCTTCTTTTCAATATCTTGATTTTTCGCTCCGTCCTGTCGTTGCCGCCCTGGTTTCTACTGAAGGAGATTTCCCGAGGATCTTGACCCTATTGCCGGTTAACAACCTCTGGACCATAACCCGTTATCCCGGATTTCTTTATTTTTCTTCTCCCTGGTGAAACCCCAGAGAGAAAGAGAGAACGGTTTTCTTGGGTTCAACCTCAACGCCTTTCTTCTATTCGCGGTCAAACAAAAGTCGGATTAGCGTTGATTTTCAGCCTTGGAGTTCCCTGGACGCAGTCGTTTTAGAACTGTACTTCTGCTATTTCTTGCAACCAAGCCCAAGAGAGAACCTTCAACCATCTTCCCACTTCTGGACTTTTTCGGCTTTTCTTCCTAGGACTACCCGGAGGCCACTTGGACCCATTTACTAGAATACCTTAATACTGGACCCTTTTCCCTGGACACAATGACTGGCCGCCATGGATATGATGTACGCCCGGAGCGTCAGAACGAGTATTTTATTCCCGGCGATGGTATCAGCCGGGAGGTGATCCAAGCAGACATTTGCCGTTACCTTGGAAATGATGCGCTCGTAAGACCTGGAAACCATAATGTCTGTATACCGATATTTCCTTACCAGTACCAATGATGAATTCCTCTGTCGAACGACAAATTCTTGTTCTAATCGCCCGCTGAGCTCTCTTACTGACTTTGATGCGAACAGGGTCGCCAGGGTTATTTCATCCGTGCCTATCGGAACCTCACCTCTGTAAGTCGTTGGATCCGGCTCTCATGCTGACTGGTCTCGTCCCGTCCCCTTGGAGTGCAAAACTAACCGTCCTGTGCTTTAGGAAATGATTGCTGATCTCAAAGCTGACTCCTCTCGGTGGGAGGCTGATGTGATCCGTCGGGCTGACCAAGGCTATCCGAGAGGTAGTTATATTCAAGACTACAGCATGTCCCAGGCGCCTAACATGGTTCCAGCAAACTATGCAACCTCCTCAGTCCATGAGGGTCGCCAGCAGCAGGGGGGGCCTTCTCCTCCGCCTGCCTACTCGGCACCGCCTGCTCAACCATATGTGGACCCATACCAGGCAGGGTTCGCGCAAACTCAGAGCCCTCCTTATCCCACACCCTCATCATATCCTTCCAACCACTCACCTTTTGCTCCTGGACAAAACCCGTACCCCCAGCAGATTCCTTACTCTGCTCCCAGCCAACCCCCCGTTTCTTCTGAGATGCACCCAACGTATACGTACACGAGCACCGCTGGCTATGCTTACGAGAATGGGAGAAACAATGCCCCCAGATATCCTGGCCCTGGCTATGAAACCGAATCGGATTATTCCCCGGTTACTTCCGGAATGGTTTATCCTGCCACTACTGCCCCGGACCCGCGGATAGGAATGGACCCAAGATATACCCCGGAGTCGGCTTACTCGGGAGGCAGTAGGCCACAGCCCGCCAGGGAAAGAGATGCCACGCGCCGACCCCGGTAAAGAAGAAAAAAAACGAACAAAAAGAAACAAAAACAAAAGGAGTTTTTTTTTTCATTTCTTGTGAGTTCCAAGGTTTTAGACGCATTTGCGCCCGTCTTCTGTGAAGACTTCGGAAATGATGAACTATTCCGCGCATTTTCCAATACTGTTCCGCTTCGGGAATTCCTCACCAAACCGACATTTTCTTTTTCTATCTAAGCCATTTGGACGTCAATTCGGATAAACCATGTCTAATTTATGGGAACTTAAATTGCAACCTTTTCGGAGTTAAATCCTTGGGATCCCGGACATCACTTGATCTGAATGCCGCTCAAGTTATCCTGGGCTAATTTTGAACCTGGAGAATATTTTCCACCGGCGTCGGTTGTCCGGTCTATCTTTGATCTGACTGTTGTTCTCATTCCCACGCGAGCTTTTTATAGCGATTTAATGGAGAATGACCAGCTTGATGATACTTGATGATGGGGTTAAGAACGGGAGGCTTTTTGGATTTTTACTGTACCGCCGGTCCTGGTTTTTTTTTTTTTTCATTTTCCATTTTCACTTTCCTTCTCATCTTTCCTATCCTCTTCTATCTCTTCTATTCTTCTCTTCGGAAACCCGTTCTCATTTGAGCTATTTCATTGTTACCTTTGGTCGTGGTATTTTGTTTCGCTTGTCACCTCCGTTAATTTGTTCCAAGGGGTATTTTCGACTATCCCTTCGTGTGGAGTCTGATGGAGGCATCCAATTGATCCTGGAATTTATCAGCTAGGGGCTTTGATATACAATTATGTTGGTTATGATCTATATGTAGATATGAGCATAAATGGCGTTATCTTTCTGGGCTTTGAATGTTTTTGCTCTTTCTCGTTTTATGTTGCTCAGGGTTCCAGACTTGTCCTATAATTGATGTTTGCCGGTCTACCGAAACCACATTAACCGTCTTCTTTCATCCATCGAACCATTCCAAATGCCATGCTCGTGCACGAAACAGCCTGCATCGTTTTTGATCTCCGCTTTCATATCATACAAACCACTCCCATACCAAAAGGTCATGGCACGAAACGTGTTTTCTCTGTTTGCAAGCAGTTATTCGCGTGAAGATATTCACCATGTGTGCAGGTGCACTGCACAGCTGCAAGCCCTGCCGTGAGGTCTCTTAGGACAAGTCAATCAAAAACCACATCGTCAAAGCCATATATTACGACCGAAAGAACGACAGTACGCCGAGACTTCTGTATTGAACTTCTGTTGTCCTTGAACACCCCAGCTTGTGCAAAGAGATGACTTCTCATTTCTTCCATCCTCCCCAGTGTCCGTCCTGGGTGAATGTGACCTCAATTACCATTGCAATATTTCCGATTTCCCACCCCCAAGTTTCTGTCTCTCTTCATTTTTGATTACACTCTAGCCCGTCTTCCGTACATACCTGGAACAGGGCTTATAGCCTTGGTTTCCTCGGTATGGACGGCTTGAGATTCCCCGTCTTCAATGATGGCGACGTCATGGTGCGGATCGGCCAGAAAGCCTATCAACTGCACTCCGATGTGCTTAGACGCCATTCGCGCCTTTTCAGGCATGCGCTTCAGGATGCTCCACGGTTCGAAGGCTTCGTTCATTTCTATTTGACTCCTTCGGAGCTGAGCGATGTGGGAATTTTGGAAGTCCAGGTGCGAGCATATGGCGCGGCAGAATGTGAAATGAAATATTAACGTGTTGGCAAAGAAGACATGGGACTCGTCGTTCCCAATGATAGAGCGTCTATTTGATGAGCCCGCCAAAGTCCGTGAATATTGGGATAACATTCTCCGCGTCCTTTACAAGATCAAGCCCAACCTGTATCTTCTTAATCGCGATCCTGCAACCGTTGCCTTCGAACTGGTCGATTTGGGTGCAACCATCGGATCAAAGACCATTGTCGATCATGGTGTCGATCTGGCACTCCGCGATTTCGGCCAGCAATTGTTCCTCATGATTTCCGAGGACCCGGTTGGCTGGCTTTTCTTTGGAAATCGTATCCGCTCCGGGCTCATCTATCACGAGGCTCTCGTTCACCTGGTCGGCAAATGGCATCAGCTCCCCAGCGAAGATCAGGCTCGCGCTGCGTTGCTTCCAGAGTACACTGAAAACATTGTAATTGCGTCCTCCAGGGCGCTCGAACGCACCAAGGAGAATGTCGAGGCCTCACTCTTGACATATACTCCTAGTTGGATTTCTCTGGAAGCCGATATACCCTATCTGGTTGAAAATTGCATGCTCCAGGCCGTCGGTATTTTCCGCCAATGGTTTTGTCACCAGGTCGCTGACGCCAATAGCCTTGACAATTGGGGTGCAAGAACCAGGCTGTATCGCACCATAGCTGCCGGTGGCAATGCATACCTTGAAGATGATAAACTCGAATACCTTCACGGCTCGCCCATCTATTGGGGGCTTGCGGAAGAGCATGAAATTGACGACAATCTGAATTTGATCAAGGACGGCGTTAAACTGATTGTCGCGCCTCTTCTGGTGAACGAAAGCCGTTATGACCCCCAGCAGCTGGGCCGACTCCCCTACCTCACCTGTATCAGGATAGAGGTCGAGGATATCCCCTGGAACGAGTGGGCTGTCGAAGATGGTATCAATGGTTTGCCGGACATCGGATCCTCGGATTCTGAGTCCAGCAGTACTGATAGTTGGGTTTCTTCGGTGCACTATTCAGACGATGCTATGGTTGATGGGTTGGCTGAAATGATGGAGGGCTATAAGTAACGAGCAGTTCGGCATTTGCATATCCACAGCATTTTTTATTTCATGACTTGCATTTCACCAGACACCCCGAAGGAGCGTTCTCGCGTTTATTGAGATTTGATCTATGTGTTTGATCATACTGCAAGAATTGTTTGTACTGCAGATAGTACCAAATTGAGCCAGCATTCTCAGCTCTAAGACCATTCCATGTAGATTTCAGGGTCCCAGATATTCGGCGGACCGAATCTACCCTCCGTATCATCTATTGTTCTTCCAGTTCGGAGGCCTTTGACCTGAATGATCATTGAATTGTCTTTGAATTTCCCAGCTAAATACACCATAACAAGTCAAATCTGAACTTTAAAATCGACTCAATGCATGAAAAGATCCACGAAGCGCGTTTACTCGTCGTCGTAGCCTTGCGGGATAACCCGGCGTCCCTGGGGAACTAGATATGCGAAGCAGAGCCGTCAGTAACCACGAAATGAGAGCCGGAGCTCGACAAGCAAGCCGAGTATGTCGAGGAGAAGAATAAGTCAAGAGCTCTTACTGGGATATGTCAGGGGAACAGGCTCCGGGTCGACGTCGCCGAAGAAGTGTCTGATCGGGGGCAGAGTCACCAGGGCGACGGGGCCCATGGCGCCCGTGACAAGGGCATAGAAGATAGCGGGCTTTTCGTGGGAGGCCCAGCGAAGGTACCGGAGAGGCGTCGACCAGAATTGAGGAGTGGCCATGATTGCGACAGACGAGGAAGGTCGGGATGTTGTGTGATGAGAAGAAACTTTTTTTGCGGAGATCGGTCAGTAACAGGGAAGAAGTAGTGAATCGAACCACAAGGATGGTAGATGATGGAAGAGAATTGAATTGGACATACCAATAGAAGCTACGAAGCCACACAGTTCAACGTGCCGGACTGCAGGGACGGAGGGCAGACGGGGATGCGACGGAGAGGGGAAAGGATGGAGGTTGAAAGTGACGAAAGCCGCCGTTCGAGCGGCGAGCGGGTCTTGGCATTCAGTCCAAACACGTCGCCCGTTAACTATCGTCTTCCTCCCTCCGACTTCCTCGACAACTCCGGAGTCCAGCGACATTGGCTTGTCTGTCTTTCCCTTTTTCTTGCTCTTCTTCTTTTTTCCGCTCTATTTGATTCTTCCGCCAGTCACCCTTCCGCCCCGCCGTGCGGTTTTCTCAAGATGCGGTGGTGCTTTGCCCTTCTGGTGTTCTGCTTCTTGGCCGTCGCAAATGCCTTGAGCAGTTCGGGGAATCGTCTCGCGGTGATTCTAGAGGATGCTGCAGACAAGGAGCTTTACTCAACCTTCTGGGGGGATCTCCAAGGTCGGTTCAACTGCAATGAAACGAATCAATTGGTACTAATGGAATCCTACAGCCCGCGGCTACAACATCTTCTTTGAGTCCCCCAAGAACGAGCGCTTCTCGCTGTTCGAATATGGCGAGCGAGCTTACGACCACCTCCTCATTCTTCCTCCCCGGTCCAAAGGTTTGTTTATCTACCGATTTGCGGGGTCGTCCAGCTCAATTGACCGTCTGATATAGGTTTCGGGCCTTCGTTGACCCCCCAAAAGATCGTCGAGTTCATGAACAAGGACGGCAACGTCCTTCTCGCTCTCTCTGGAAAGTCCGCCACACCTAGCGCTATCAGCTCGCTTCTTCTGGAGCTGGATTTCCATCTTTCTGCGGACCGTTCCTCCATCGCTGTCGATCACTTCAACTACGATGTCTTGTCCGCCCCCGAAAAGCACGACGTCCTGCTCCTCCAGCGACCCGGTCAATTGCGCCCGGACACCAAGGCCTTCTTCGCCGGCGAAGGTGTTCTCGCATTCCCCAGGGCAGAACCCCACACTCTGGGCGATTCCAGCCAGCTTGTCGCTCCCATCCTGCGCGCCCCGGCCACTGCCTACAGCTACAACCCCAAGGAGGACGCGCCCACGGTTGAGGATGTTCAGGCCACCGGCTCTCAATTGGCGCTCGTCTCCGCTATGCAGGCCCGCAACTCCGCTCGCTTTACTTTGTTGGGCTCCGCGGATAGTCTCCAGGACAAGTGGTTCTCTGCGACTGTCAAGGCCCCTGGCAGCGGAAAGGAAACCAAGACTGCCAACCAGGACTTTGCCAAACAGCTGACCGCCTGGACTTTCAAGGAAACCGGAGTCCTCAAGGTTGGCAAGGTTGAGCACCACCTGGCCAAGGATGGAGAAATTACCGCCGATGAGCTGAACCCCAGTCTCTACCGTATCAAGAACGAAACCGTAAGTGCTAACCGTGGATTCTTAATTACCGATCGCTAACCCCTTTTTTCAGGTCTTCGACATCGAGGTCTCTGAGTACAACTACGACTCGTTCGTGCCGTTTGAGGTCCCCGCCAACGACGCTCTTCAGCTTGAATTCACCATGCTTTCACCCTTCCACCGTCTCGATCTCCAGCCCTCCCGCCGAACGGAGAACAGCACCATCTACAGTGCCCGCTTCGTTGTTCCTGACCAGCATGGTATCTTCTCGTTCCGCATCAACTACAAGCGCCCCTTCTTCACCAACATCGAAGAGAAGCACGAGGTTACCGTGCGCCACTACGCCCACGACGAGTACCCCCGCAGCTGGAAGATCAGCGGAGGATGGGTGTGGATTGCGGGCCTGTGGTCCGTCATCGGCGGCTTCCTTGCTTTTGTGGTTGTATGGCTCTACTCGGCCCCTACTCCTGCTGCGCAATCGTCGAAGAAGACGCAGTAAATAATGTATCTATCAATGACTGCGTGAATTCAACTTTCTACCGGAAGGACTGCTTCCCTGTAGACCCCTTGGAAACGTAAGTGGTGTAGAAGAATAGATGGAGAGAAGTCTATTCAATATGTACAGTTGCCGAATCGCCCGACAGGCGAATATCCGATCGTAGAAGTACATCAGGGCTTGTGAAATCAACCAAAATAACTCCGATGCATGCTGAGAAAACTTCAAGAAAGAAAAGGAAAAGAGGGAAGGGGCAGAGACAAGCTTCCGAACACCTTCGCGACGGGCCTCAATCTGACCACCTTTACAACCTTGTTTCACACCGGTGCCCTTCGGCCTCTAAGCCCTCCGCTTCATTCCGTTCACAGACCCCTCGTCTTCTCAGGGTCCATCTTGACCTCATCTCCGCTGATTTCCTTGACGGACTCAAAGGCCGGCTTGCCCGCATACAACTGCTCGGTCTTGGTGGACTGTCCCTCGAGCTCCTTATTTATCGCAATAGGCTGATTACCGCGGAAACGTTTGCGCATATCGATCATGCCGCGCCTAGACAGATATCCGGAATTAGCATGAGAATTCAACACAGCCCATATCGCCTCCCCAAGACCTCCAGACGACCTACTTGCACTCGCCGTATCCTTTCCGCAACTGCTGACATTTCGTAGGCAATTCCTCCGCATAGGGAGAGCTCAGGCATTCTCGGGGTGTGCGACGCTGGACCATAATACAGTCCGATTCCTGCAGGCACTGGGCCAATGCATCTCCTATTTTATATCAAAGCGCCGTTAGCCTCGTCATTTCGTGGGCATGTCAATCACATTGGTAAGCAGAGCCAGAGGGCCGGCGAGAGCGCGATTCCTGTCCGGCCTGCCTGCACCAGATATTGATCCCGAATACTCACGGATATCCCGGCAAGAGCTGGGCATGTTGGCGCAAGAATTGACAAGATGCTGGAGTCTGCGATGCCAAGCAGTCCGGCGTGCTGGTTGTTTGCAGCAAAAATCCAGACGTTGAGGGAATCCCCGGATCACGTAAGCATCACATGAAAGACGGCGGCGCATGACGTCTGGGGCGAGTTTCCCCTTCCCCCCTTGTTCAGTTCTATTCTGCTCCTATATAGGCAGACATTCTTTTTCTGTTTTCTTTTTTCTATTCTCCCGGTGCAACATCCTTGCGCCTACACTATGGAACTCGTGATTTACGACTAGCAATTGATTTAGCTTGGCTGTCGCTGTGAAACTTCGTCCGCTTCCATCATGGCGCGTGTACCGGTCATCGGAAGATTGTTCTGGTTCGAGTACTTGGCTCTCTTCGCCTCGTTGATTCTGGTCCTGCTAGAATATTTTATACATATCATAACCTTCTGTCTTCGTAAGTATACACATCCGACGCCGGGCAGGCTACGGTCGGTTCTCGGTAAATCTACAGAGTAGACTGACAGGCTTGCGACAGCGGAACCGATAATCACGTTTTGTTACGATCGGTCCAAAACGATATTCAACATTTTCATCAGCCCGGAGAATGCGGGCAAGCGCGGTAAAGAAGAGCGGCAGGCCACGGCGGTTGCACAAGCGTCGGACTTTGTCGACATCTGTTCCCTGTTTGGGTACGAGCCGGAAGAGCACATCGTCCAGACGGGCGATGGCTATCTCCTTGGCCTCCACCGACTGGCCTATCGGAAGGGAGAGGAGGGTGTGCGCGTCAACCAGGGGAAGGGCGGCGTGAAAAAGAAAGTGGTCTACCTGCATCACGGACTGCTGATGTGCAGCGAGGTCTGGGTCTGCTTGACGGAGGAGCAGCGATGTCTGCCCTTCCAATTGGTAGAGAGGGGATATGATGTGTGGCTGGGGAACAATCGCGGCAATAAGTATTCGAAGAAGTCCGTCAAACACTCCCCTCTGTCCAACGAATTCTGGGACTTCTCGATCGATCAGTTTGCCTTCCACGACATCCCCGACAGCATTAACTACATCTTGGAGGTGACGGGGCAGCCCTCTCTGTCATATGTGGGTTTCTCGCAAGGCACGGCTCAAGCGTTCGCGACGCTTTCAATCCACCCGACGCTGAATGACAAGATCGATGTCTTTGTGGCTCTGGCACCGGCAATGGCGCCGACGGGCTTACCGAATGCGCTCGTCGATTCGCTCATGAAAGCCTCACCGAACTTTCTGTTTCTCCTGTTCGGCCGCCGCAGCATCCTTAGCTCGACGACGATGTGGCAGACGATTTTCTATCCCCCCATCTATGTCCGCATCATTGATACCTGCGTCTCCATGCTTTTCAATTGGAAGTGCAAAAACATCAGCCGTTGGCAAAAGCTGGCGGGGTACCTGCATCTGTTCTCCTTCACTAGCACCAAATCAGTGGTCCATTGGTTCCAAATCATCCGGCACAAAAACTTCCAGTTCTACGACGACGAGATCCATGCACCCTTCAGCGTCGTGGCCAGCGAGCGATTCTACAAACCCGTCAAATACCCCACGAAGAACATCAAGACGCCGATTGTACTGCTGTATGGCGGCAGCGACAGTCTTGTTGATATCAACGTGATGCTGAAGGAGCTACCGCGCGGGACCATGGCGAAGAAGATTGCCAAATACGAGCATCTGGATTTCCTGTGGGCGTCGGACGTGGATCAGCTGGTGTTCGGTCATGTCTTCGAGGCGCTGGAGCTGTACGACCGGAATAAACCCACCAGCGACGCAGCGACGGTGGAGCAGATGAACGGCCACATCGAACACACAGTTGCGGCCTGAACGCGCTGGCGTTGGTAGCAAGGGGATGGGAGGAACGTCGGAATCTTCACGTACACAAAGTACATACATCACGTCGTCCTGTACAGAAGAACAAAGTTCGATGACGACGCCGTTGTGCCAAGTATTGATGCATCCTGTCTATCTGTCTGTTTGATCTGAAGCCTCCCGACTGTCGCTTGTCACCAGTTGTACAGCTATCTATCCCTCGCAGGGCTCGTACATAGTCTAGTCTAATCTAGTAGGTAATGTAAACGGATATCTTGCTTATGATAAGTTGATATCATCAAGCCATAGAGATCGAGGAGGGGCTATGACGTGTCCCAGCAGCAGGGGAAAACACTCCCGAACATGTACTGTAGTTATCTATCAACTTCCGACTTTGGACGGAACCCTTCCAGTCCTCATCCGGGCAACAATCGTACTTCTGGTCTCGACCTGACCCGACATGCATCCCGACCAATATGTACGTGATAGTGACGATACGTCGCATGTGTCATACCGACGGTTGATTGCCAAATCGACAAGAGAAGAAGAAAAAAATTAAAAAAATAAAAATAAAAAAAAATAAACGGCATTATTATAGCGCACATACCACCAAACGCCTAGTCGATCAGTCACCGGTACTTTGGCCTGTCGCGCGCATCATTGGCGCAGCGCCGTGCCTGACAAGCGTTTGCAAACCTGGCCTATCGAATCGAATCGAATCGAGTCCTGTTAACCCAATTCCTGTCTTGTCAATCCAGTCAATCAGTCAATCCATCAATCGAAGATCGAAAGGGACAACAACGAAAGGGCAGGCGATCGTCGGTGGAGATTCCATTCCTCCACTTCCCACGCCCCTTTCCCCTAGCTCTGTTTTTTTTTTTTTTTTCTGGCTTCTCCTTCCGAAGGGCGTTGGTTCGTTGTGTATAGTTGGCGCTGGATTGGGGAGAGAGATGACAGGTAACAATTGAAGGGGGGGGGGATGAGGGCAAGGCGTTTCAGGCAGGGAGTCTGCAAAACAAACGGACGATAGAGGGAGTACCCTGTAGATACCTAGGGACGAATGGAGTGCCCTCTCGGTCTAGGAATGTATGTCATACGGAGTATGAATGTACCACAGGCCGGCTGTCCATGGATGAAGGGGATACTCCGTTTGTTAATATTGGCGATTATATATTCCCCGTCGTTTCGTCTTCCACTCGCCCATGATATCATCTGGCCAACTCGTCGGGATGATCAACTTTCGGGCTGCATTAAATTGATATATTGTTCACCACCTTGCTCCTATCCTACTTGATTGTATCCCAGCCTGTCCCACGAGCTAGCAATTAAGTGGGAGTGGAAGGGATTCGACTCCAATTCCGGGACTCCATTTATGATCCACCAGGATTCCCAGTCCGAGCCTCACGATAAGAACCCCAATCAGCGACTACTGGACTGATTCCTTGCACTCGAAGACCAACCTGCTTCTTGGAGTATTCGGATTATTCCGAGGATATCGCGAGATCCCAAACGCCTCAACATCACGGGGTTTTCTGTTAAGGTTTGGCTGCGGGATCGGCCACTTCAGTCACACAATCAATCCTGCTTCTTCTCCTCCTTCTCCTTCTTCCTACCTCTGTCCTTCCTCTCTCTCTCCCTCTTCTCCATCTCACTCACCGCTGCGACTCTACTGAATGGAGTAGAAGCTCCGAGAGATCCTGCCGTCGACTAAGTAAATCCTGCCCCTGGGAACACTTGGTTGCTGCTGCTGCTGCTGCTGCTGCTGACTTAGCCCCGGCCTAGTTTGGGTAGTCTCCGGAAATCCACCCGATAATAATAATAATTAAATCGCTGGACATCAAACCGTCTCTCACTCTCGCTCTCTTCTTCTCCTGCCCCCAATTCATCCCGTCCCCCTGCCTCATCCCCGACGGTCCTCTCTCTTTCTCTCTCTCCTCCTTCCTCCCCCGTCATACCCTGCCTGCCTCCCTGCGAATCGGTCGGCAATCGGTGTCGAGAACCTATGTGACGGATCCGCCCGTCGCTGTCCTTACTCCGTCCCAGCGCACCCCGCCTCCCCCGGAAGAGAAAAAGAAAGAAACAATCGTCTATCAGACCATCCCTCGTCCCTCCCTCCCACCGCGAACTCGATCAATTGGGAACCGAGGTACCGAACTATCCTGACGGATCCCATCGGAGGAATTGATCCGCTGGTCTATTTTTTGCCTGTCCCGCCCAACCTCCAATATTTCGGATCGGAGTTGTCGATTGAGGTCATACCGCCGGTTCAACCAGCCTCTGCTCGGAACGCTAAGAAGCTACGCTTCGGCATCGAATTGTCAGCAGAGCTAGCTAGGGGCTCGACTGGACTTGCTCCCAAGCTTCGGAACACATATCCTCGAAGAAACACGGTCTCGTCTTGCTATTTCAATGCGACCGCAGTAAGTTTGGCAACCTTGTTGTCTCGGCTTGGGTTTTGTCGCATCATGGACGCTAATAACCGTGTTAGACGGGAATACCACATCGTCGTGTTGGGCGCTGGTAAGCCTTCCCTTCCCTTCCCTCCAATTTCCGCTAGAAGATATCTTGCTGACCATGGCCGTTTTGCGTCTGTTATAGGAGGTGTGGGAAAAAGTTGTTTGACCGGTACTTGACCCTCTACCGCGCATCCTTTCCGATGACTCTCCGTCTCCCCCCTAAGATTGTCGCTCACAACTCGCAGCTCAATTCGTCCAAAATGTTTGGATCGAGAGCTATGATCCCACAATTGAAGACTCATACCGGAAGCAAATCGAGGTAGATGTGAGTTAACTCCCCGTCCCAGTCGGGGGAGTGTGTCGCTAATGGAACCAGGGTCGACAATGTATTCTAGAAATGTATGCCCAATCAACCATACCTACCGAGCCATACCGAGTTGGATTTGGAAGAACTGCTCACTAACCCCACCCTTTTCCAGTCTGGACACCGCAGGAACGGAACAATTCAGTAAGTATTCCACCTCTTGACCATGTCGTTGTCGCATTATTAACAGTTCAATAGCGGCCATGAGGTAACAACTCACTCCCACCTGACTCCCGTTCGCTCTCCAGTCGACTAGAACCATGCGCAAATAGCACGTGTCTGACTACGGCCCTTCCAACATACTGACATTGATTCCAGAGAGCTGTATATGAAACAAGGCCAAGGGTTCCTCCTCGTATTCTCCATCACCAGCGCGTCGTCACTGAACGAACTATCGGAACTACGAGAGCAAATTACCCGCATCAAGGACGACGAGAAGGTCCCCATCGTGATTGTAGGAAACAAATCGGATCTGGAAGAGGATCGTGCGGTGCCTCGTGCTCGCGCATTCGCGCTCTCGCAGAGCTGGGGCAATGCTCCCTACTATGAGACCTCGGCCCGCCGACGAGCCAATGTCAACGAAGTGTTCATTGACCTCTGCCGACAAATCATACGGAAAGATCTGCAAGGCAGCTCGTCGAAGAGCAACGACAACCAACCGCGCAAACGGGAAGGACCCAACCGAAACGACAAAAAGAAGGACAGAAGACGTCAACCTCGACGGAGGGGACCGTGCGTGATCCTCTAAACTTAACGGACTTCGACGAAGAATATTAAAAAAAATCACACCAACGATGAAGGAACAATGAATCGAGCAACTCGCATCGGTCATCTACCTTCGACTTCACATTTCATGACCGGGAGGATCTGCCTTTGATTCCCTCTGGCTGCGGCTACGAGAGCAAGGGTTTTCCCACTCCTACCTCTGCACATACCCAATCCTGTCAGATTATAATATCATATTGCTTGCCTTCTCATGCCCTGTTATCATACGCTGTCAACGTCCACGTGTTCCAACGATAGATATATGTACCCTTTCTTTTTGTTTCATTCTACCTTCTATGCTATCAATCATTGATATAACGTCTTGCAACCTTGTTTATCTCACATGACCTAGGGAATGGAAAAGTTGCATGTCTTGATCTGGTGCTCCGCCGCTTTGAATATCCGTTTTTGTTCTTTCTCTTCTAATGATTGTCTTAAGCTTTATCGAGAGGAGACCGTCTTTCTAATCTACTAAGAAAAAAACAATGCACCAAAAACCAGCGTTCCTTCTCTTCACCTCATCTACCTCAAATGACTTACTTAACTTGGTATATGTGATTGTCTGATATTGTATTCTCCCCCCTCCAGATCATGGAAATTGCTGCTGCTGCATCGTGCTTATACACTTTCTGTCTCGGGACATTTCTTTTCTCTCACGATCAATTGAATGCATGCATAGGTGGACATGTATTGGTAGCTATGACAACGACTTATGGATATTGCAGCTCAGTTCAAGATGATATAAATTAGATTTCTTGTTTTTGTTTCCGCAGACTGCACTCGATACTAGGGACTTTAGTATCACTGTAAGGACGTATGATTGAAAACTCTCGGCATGCTTTGCTTAACAGGGGCTATTAAATAACATCATAAACATAGATCGATGTACGTACGTACATAACTCATGTGTATACAAGGGAGGTAAATAGCTAACCACCCTATCTTCTACCTTTCCATTTTCAAACACTATAGCAGTGCACCATGAATCAATCAACCACGCAAACCCCGTCCGTCTCTCTCAAAGAAGAACAAAGATATCACATCCTGAACACCCCGAACCTCGTCTTCACATCCCCGTCGCCCTTCCCTCCCAACGCAGCCGCTAAACTCAACCCCAGTACCCGTCTCGTCTGAGCCGGCGGGATCACCCCGTCGTCCCATAGCCGGGCGGACGAGAACACGGCCTCGGATTCTCGGTCGATGCGGTCCTTCAGAGCTGGGTCGGCTGTGCGGCCGACGGCTTCCATTACAGCGGAGAGCTGCTCCGAGCCCATGACGCCGATCTTGGCGTTGGGCCACATGAACATGAGGCGGGGGGAATAGGCACGGCCGCTAGTGGTGCTGTCAGTACTTTGCTTTCGTGTAGAGTGGAGGGGAGATTGGGTTTGGCTTGGGATGTAGCAAGAGAATGCGATAAGGGAAGGAGGAGGAGAGGGGACGGGACTGAACTCACCACATGCCGTAATTACCGGCGCCGGCGCTGGAGCCAAAGACGACCGTGAACTTGGGGACATCGGCGCACGCGACGGCAGTGACCAACTTAGCACCGTTCTTCGCGATGCCGCCCTTCTCAGCGTCGGCGCCGACCATGAAGCCCGAGATATTCTGGAGGAAGATGAGCGGGATGTTGCGCTGGGCGCAGAGCTCGATGAAATGGGCGCCCTTGAGCGAGGACTCGGAGAAGAGGATACCGTTGTTGGCGACGATGCCGACCTGGTGGCCGAAGATGCGCGCAAAGCCCGTGACGAGCGTGGTGCCGTAGTCGCGCTTGAACTCGGCGAATTCGCTGCCGTCGACGATGCGCGCGATGACCTCGTGCGCAGGGATCTGGCGCCGGAGGTTGGTGCCGACGATACCGTTGAGTTCGGCCGGGTCGTAGAGCGGCTCCTGGATGGCGGTGGCTTGGTCGGAGAGGTGTTTGGGGATGCAGGTGGCTGGGTAGTTGAGGTTGGCGACGGAGCGGCGGGCTAGGACGAGGGCGTGTGCGTCGTCCACGGCGAGGTAGTCGGTGACCCCGGAGATGGTGCTGTGTAGCTGACCGCCGCCGAGGTCTTCGGCGGAGACTTCCTCGCCGGTGGCGGCCTTGACGAGGGGAGGGCCAGCCAGGAAGATGGTGCCCTGGCTTTCAACGATGATGGTCTCGTCGCTCATGGCGGGCACGTACGCGCCGCCGGCTGTGCAGGGGCCCATGACCACCGAGATCTGCGGGATGCCTTGAGAGCTCATGCGGGCCTGATTGAAGAAGATGCGGCCGAAGTGTTCTTTGTCCGGGAAGACATCGGCTTGGTGAGGCAGGTTGGCACCGCCGGAGTCGACGAGGTAGAGACAGGGTAGCTTGTTCTCCTGGGCGATTGCCTGGGCGCGCAGGTGCTTTTTCACCGTGATGGGGTAGTAGGTGCCGCCTTTGACGGTGCTGTCATTCGCAACGATCATGCAGGTCACCCCTTCCACGGTGCCGATTCCCGTGATAATGCCTCCGGCCGGAACATCCTCGCCCGGGTATACTTCGTGACCCGCCAATGCAGACAATTCAAGGAATGAGGTGCCCGGGTCGATGAGCGCCGTGACACGATCTCGAGGGAGCATTTTCCCGCGCGCAATATGTTTGTCTTTCGCTTTTTGCGGTCCACCCTGGGAGATTGTACTATGTAGATTGGTCATCCGGTCGACCAGTTCTGTCATTTGTTGGGCGTTCTCCTTGAAATCCGACGAGGATGTATCCACCGCTGTGGGCAGGACAGATATGGCGGATGCATGATGAGGATGGGTGTAACTAGCAACAGATCGAGGTAGTGGACTGGTGCGAATTGAAGGGAACCGCTGTGAGGGAAGACGTCGTAGAGAAGAGAGGGATGTTGATCTGGAGCTCAGGCTCCGAAGGAGCGGAGCCGGAGCGCGCATTGCGGGGATGATTATTGTGGGGGAGGAAACGGGCAACTGGGTGGATGTTGAATTAAAAACCCCAAATGACTATAACATGTCCTTAATCCCAAATTATGAGGGGATAATTAGAAGGGAACTGAGATTGGGTGAGAAAAGAGGACGAGGATGAAGAAGATGAAGGCATGCAGAAGGGCAAGAGCAGAAGAAGAGAAGAGAAACCCCAGATTGACTGCGGAGAAGGTCGCTGCGGGCCGCGTTTAGCCGCGGCTGGCCTCGGCCTGCCATCCTTGCGGGTTAAAGCATCACCTTCTTTCCTCCGAACATTCTCCTTCTAACATTCCCCTTTTCTCGCTCGCGAATTCATCTCAGTTCTACACAATGGCTGCCATACATCGTCTCCCATGCCTCCTGCGTACCTCCTCCAGGTTTCTGGGGGCAGTGAGGAAACCGCTCGTCCAGATCCCCGCATTCCGAACGTTGACAACAAAACATCCGAAGGGTTTTGTTGCGCCCACCGACGACGACTTGCTGGAGCTGCGAGAACGGGTTCAAGAGTTTACGAGTTTGTTCTGCCGTCTAATTTTATGATTTGAGCGCCTTTAAGGCAGAACCTGACATCTATCTCCAATCAAGGACGTGAAATTCCCGAGGAGGTTGCCGCCCAAACAGATACCCAGAATGAGTTCCCAGCCGAAATGTGGAAGAAACTAGGAGATGCTGGGTTCGCCCTCTCAATTCCGTGCAGTATATCCAGAGTCTGATAGTCCGCTAGGTTCCTCGGAGTGACGGCCAATGAAGAGTATGGCGGTCTAGGAATGGGCTACCAAGCTCACTGTGTGGTTATGGAAGAGATTAGTCGCGCATCAGGTAATCCATGTTTCTGGTTCGTGGTTATTGGCATTTTCTAATCAGATTACAGGAAGCATCGCATTGTCCTACGCGGCCCATTCCCAGCTCTGCGTGAATCAGCTCTCGCTGAACGGATCCGCCGAACAAAAGGAGCGTATCCTTCCGGGCCTTCTGTCTGGTGACAAAGTCGGTGCGCTCGCCATGTCAGAGCATTCGGCCGGTTCCGATGTCGTCAGCATGAAGACAACGGCCAAGGCAGTTGATGGCGGATACCTGCTGAACGGGACGAAGATGTGGATCACCAATGTAAAATCTCGATCCCTAAACTTGCCTTTTCTCCGTGTAACTAACCGACCGGTCTTGCAGGGTCCCGATGCCGATTACATCGTCGTCTACGCCAAGACCGAACCAGAGCAAGGCTCTAAGGGAATCACGGCGTTCATCGTCGAGAAGACATTTGACGGCTTCTCGTGCGCGCGCAAACTGGACAAGCTGGGGATGCGCGGCTCAAACACCGGAGAGCTCATTTTCGACAACGTGTTTGTTCCCCAGGCGAATGTCCTTGGGCCGCTCAACCGAGGCGTCAAGGTCTTGATGGAGGGTCTCGATCTCGAACGTCTCGTGCTCAGCGCTGGTCCGCTGGGGTAAGTGAATCTTGCACACACCAATCGAAGATCAACTGATGCTGACCGAATACAGAATAATGCAGGCCGCCCTCGACCTTGTCCTTCCGTATACCCATATCCGCAAGCAGTTCGGAACGCCTATCGCGCATAACCAGCTCATCCAGGGCAAGCTCGCAGACATGTACACAAAACTGGCGGCCTCCCGTGCCTACACATATAACACGGCGCGACAAATCGATAACTCGGCCTCGTCGCCTGAGATGACCATTCGAACGCAAGACTGTGCCGGCGCTATCCTCTATGCTGCGGAGCGGGCCACCGAATGCGCCCTGGATGCTATCCAGCTCATGGGCGGCAACGGATACATCAACGAGATCCCGGCCGGACGACTACTCCGGGATGCGAAATTGTATGAAATTGGCGCTGGAACCAGTGAGATCAGACGAATGGTTATCGGGCGGGCGTTCAACAAGGAATTTGCGTAAAATTGCGTTAACTATGTTTTGACAAAACCGGCTGCATTTGTATGTACAGCATTTTCGGACTGAAGGAATTTATATATAAAAAGAAAAGTAAAACTGCGCTGCCATCTATTTCTTGTTTCTGGCTGACCTCCGCACCGGTCCCGTCGACTCATCCGTCTCTCCAACCTTCTTCGACGCAATTCGTTTAGATCGTGAACCGGAGGGCGATTCTGGACCGTTCTTGCTTGTCGGCTCCTCATGAGACACCGAAGCCTTGCGTTTTCTCCCCCTTGTCGCTGCAAGCTGCCCAGTTGATTGATTGCTCGGCTTGCCAGCAGCAACACCGTTCACCTGAGGCTGAGGCTTCTTGCCCCGCGTGCGATCCCCTTCCTTCGACTCCCGCGCCTTCATTCCCAGAGTCTCCTCATAGTTCTCATGTCCCTCGATCGGATACTCGTGCTCAATCATCTTCGAATTCACCGGCACATCAGCCGCCGACTCAACCACGCGACTCGCATGCACCGGCGGCGGAGAAAACGCCTTGACCGGAGCAGTAGCTGAAGTCTCCATTTCCGCATCGGCATCCCATTCCTCGTCCACCATGCCATCATCCTGGGTAGCTTTCCTCGCTGTGCCGTTGCCGTTGCCGTGACCAGCTCGCGTGCGCCCATTCAGCCCAGTACCTTTCTCGCCGCTGCTCGATTTGCCCGGCGCAGCGCCGGCGCCTTTGCGTGTCCGCGCCCTCTCGTTCGCAGGATGCGAAGTGCGGAACACCTCGCGCCAGTTCTTCAGCAAAGCCACTTTCTCGCCGTCGCCGGGCTCGTATAGCTTAGATTTGGTCTCATCGGTCGAGGTGCGCCACACGGTGCCGCGGAACGAAGCGACGTCTGTCTTAGGGGCGTCGATGGATTTCGACTTCGGTTTCGATTGATGCTTCCGTTTCTTCTGCGTAGGAGGAGCGGAGACGGCGGTGACGGCTGGATTGATGTTCAGGTCCCGGTTCGGCCAGTTGGCCATGACCCGTTGGATGCGGAGGGCGGTGGGGTCTTCATCGTAGTAGTCGTCGGAGACATCGTCCCAGTCGCTGTAAAAGTCTTCTACTTCGAGGGAGGGGTCATCGTAGAAGATGGCGTCGTAGGTTGCGGTTGCGGCTAGGTCATCCTGCAGAATTGGGTCAATTAGGACGATCGGAGATAGATGGCTCATTGGGGGTGGAAGAAAGAGAATTGAAGGGCCTGGAACTTACGGCGATTTCAGGCTCCGGTTCCTCAATCCAGAAGATCTCGTCGAACTCATCGTAGTAATCTTCGTCGTCCGACATGATGAATTGATGGATGAGTAATTGGTAAGGTTTGAAAGGCGATGAGAGAAAGGAAAGGGAAAAATGAAAACAATTATGAATGAAAGGTCCGATAAGGAACAAGATTTAACAAAAAAAACCCCAAAAAGTCCCCAAACTGGAAAGCACGACGTTGAGTCGAGACTGAAGGATGACGTCGAGACGATCGCGTTCTCCGACGGTGAAAATTGATTAGGCCAAAAGTTGCTGGCCTGAGGCCGTCCGCCGCGGATCATGGGTCACGTGCCGGTTTCCCCGCAGGCTCGCTTTGCGTCGGCTGAAGGGGGAGTTGGGGGTCAGAGCCGGGGAGTGCCTGGGAGCTGCGATCTTCTCTTCTCTTCTCTCTCTTCTTGAAAATTAATCCTGTTCTCAGCTCTTCCTGCTTCCTGGCGAAGTGTCTGAGAATGCACTGACTTGAACATCTATACCTGATCTTTGCCCCACGCTTCGATCGGCCCGCCTTCCATACATACACATAGGTAGCTCCATACAATGCCTCTCCCAGCGCTTCTCCGCACCACATCCCGCCTGGGACCGACGGTTGCTCGGAGGTCGAAAAGAGTGGCATCCACGATTGCCACGGGTGGATCAAAACCTCAGAATTCACTGGATTCGATTCTCATTGCAAATAGAGGAGAAATTGCATTGTATGTTTGCGTACGCTGCCAAGGGCCCTTTCTTTAGTCGTGCTAATGCGATCCCCCCAGACGAGTTGGCCGGACAGCTGCAGAACACGGTATCCGGGTAACTACGTTATATACAGATCCAGACAGTCGAGCTCAGCATGCGCTTAGCTCCCCGTTTGCCTTCAATTTGGGGTCGGTGTCGGCTTACCTCGACGGCGACCGTATAATCGAGATCGCAAAGAAAGAAGGTTGCCAAGGGATACACCCGGGCTATGGCTTCGTACGTCTGCTACCCAACTTACAGGAATGGCCCAGCTAATTATGGGACACCTCTAGTTGAGCGAGAATTCCGCCTTTGCCCGAAAATGCACCGAATCTGGATTGATTTTCATTGGTCCGCCCTACAAGGCAATCGAAGACATGGGAGATAAGAGGTATGCTAATGTGCGCTCGTGGTAGTGCAAATTGCTGAATATCTTGAAGCCAGTCCAAGAAGATCATGACGGCCGCAGGAGTGCCTTGCGTTCCTGGTTATCACGGTCAGAACCAAGACGTCAACCATCTCGAGGCCGAAGCCGACAAAATAAAATACCCAGTACTCATCAAGGCCATAAAAGGCGGTGGTGGCAAAGGCATGCGTATTGCCTACTCGAAAGACGAGTTTCAGGCCCAATTACAATCTGCCAAATCCGAAGCTATGAACTCATTTGGGGACGACCATGTCTTGGTTGAGAAATATATTACCACACCGCGGCACATCGAAGTGCAGATCTTTGCTGATAAGCATGGAAACTGCGTTGCTCTGGGCGAGCGGGATTGCAGTATCCAAAGGCGTCACCAGAAGATCCTCGAAGAGTCGCCTGCTCCTCATCTGCCTGATGCTACCAGGAAAGATATCTGGGCAAAGGCTCGCTCGGCTGCTTTGGCCGTAGGCTACGAAGGAGCTGGTACAGTCGAGTTCATCTTCGATAATGACACTGGCGAGTTCTTCTTCATGGAGATGAACACAAGACTGCAGGTTGAACACCCGGTGACGGAAATGGTCACCGGCCAGGATCTGGTCTATTGGCAGCTGAAAGTGGCCGAGGGCGGAAAGCTTCCGCTGACCCAAGAAGAGATAGAGGCCTTCATTGCGAGCCGCGGACATGCAATTGAAGCGAGAATCTACGCGGAGAACCCTGACCAAGGTTTTATCCCGGATTCAGGTACTCTGCTCCATGTTCGCACACCCGCCATCACGGAGGATGTCAGAATCGACGCAGGTTTCGTTGCCGGCGATGAAGTCTCTGCCCATTATGACCCTATGATTTCAAAGCTCATCGTGAGAGGCACCACCCGTGAGGAAGCTATCCGCAAACTTGCCGCTGCCTTGGAAGAGTACGAAGTTGCGGGACCGATCACCAACATCGAGTTTCTGAAAACGATCTGCAAGAGCCCCGACTTTATCGCCGGAGAAGTCGAAACTGGGTATATTGAAAAACACCGCGAGGAGCTGTTCACCAAAAGCTCAGTGGAGCCCGAGCTGCTCGCACAAGTAGCTCTAGCCTGTCTACACCACGATGCCAACCCAGTCACTCGGAAGCAGGCCAACTTCGAAGGTTCCGCTGTTGGCTTCAGCCCGGGCTACCAGGCTCGACAGATCACATTGGCAGACTCTACACCGGGGACCAAGGACAGCACTCCATTTAACGTTCGCGTCCAACAAACGGGCGACAACACGTTTAACGTGGAAGTTGGCGAGCGTGTGTTTGAACAGGTGGAGAGCCATCGCAACTCAGCGTCGCAAGCCATCACGTCGTTTTTCCCTCACACCCGTCTAGACACCACGGTGATCCGTGACGAGGACTCGATCGTTGCATTCCAGAAAGGCGCGCAATACCGCCTCACGATACCGCGAGCCAAGTGGATGGAAAAAGCACTAGGGATGAAAGATGTCACGAACAGCGTTCTAGCGCCGATGCCATGCAAAGTGCTGCGGGTGGAAGTCCAGGCTGGCGACGTGGTGGAGAAAGACCAGCCGCTGGTGGTGATTGAGAGCATGAAAATGGAAACGGTCATCCGCAGCCCGCAGAAGGGGACCATTTCAAAGGTGGTCCATAAACAAGGAGTAGGTCACGCGCTGTTCGAATTTTTCTCTTTTCTTTCCTTCTCCGTTTCCTTTTACCCTTGTTATACCACCTCTGCACAATATTATCCATCGGTGTTCCATCCCCCCTGGGATTCGAAATTCTCCACCTCCGATCCAATGAAAATTATCTTGGTGGCTAACGTGTACCTTGCAGGACCAATGCAAAAGCGGAACACCGCTTGTTGAATTCGCGGACGAAAGCGGTGAAAGCTAGATGGATGCAACGACAACTTGAACAGTATAGAAAAGTGGAACGCAGATAAAATACGAGAGTCTACGACAGCGAGCGGAGACCGGCTTGGAGACGAGAGTCAGTCTGGGGTAGGATTGACCCTGTGGGCTGGGCTGGATGGGGATGATGTTTTCCTGTGTACTTATGTTAACTACCACCAGCCAGAATCTATAATATTTCGTAAAATGAAAGAGAAGAAACTCAATCAAATAAAACAAAGACCCAAAAATAAACCATCACCACACTCCGATCCGATCAACCGTACCTACCGAAGCAAATCGGCTGCCAAGTCACTCAATTGACTTTCCACTCTATATAGTCCGGTCCGAGGCGCTGTCATGTGGTCAGCGTGAAGGTCTCTCGGCTTGCCAGACATATACATCCCGAGCTGAGGAGACCTGTGCGTGCGTGTATTTATCTACCGCGCGGCGTGTACAGAGGCTTATTCCAGGCCAAAGAACACCTACAATAAAAAACCAGGGAGCTGATCCCGAATCTGACGGTGGAGACGCTGACAGGAGGATTAATAATTCCATAAACGGGAAAAGGAAGCCATTTCGAATCCTAAAGGAATAGAACAGAAGAAGAACCCTGAGAAGGGGCGCCCGAGCCCCTGCCCGCAAGCTGAAAGACAAAACATAAAAAACAAGCCCTGGTTTCAAGGGCTCCCCACGCCCCTTAGTCCGCCCGCTTCATTAGCGCACGCGATGCCCGGCTAAGGGGGAGTACAGAGTATTGTAGTTAGTCAGAAAATACACGAGTGTAGTCATCCTCATCCTCAAAGGATTGATTTGTACATTTTGTACCACAAGCTGCTTTAGAACAAAGAGAAATGGAGAAGAAACTCTTGTTGTGGCAAAAAAGAATCCCAAGTAGTCACTGGTACACAGCCACTAGCCATGCTCCCAAGACGCACATTTGCTCAGGTCAGAGCATGCAGATCTTTTCCATACGATAGGGTCGGGACGTAGCATTGACATGCTGGACCGGGTTAGTCTGGGAGTAGGGGAGTCATCGTGATGAAATTTATATGCCGATCTAAAAGTACGTGTAGGAAGTGAGGACGAGTAATCCTGTAGAACGGTGTAGAGTAGGTAAGTATCTTGCCATCAAAGATCTGTACTGATTTCCTGGGCGAACTTGGATATGTACATACTACTGTACATGTAGCTACCCAGGACTCCTTGATTTTGCCGACAGATATGGTCATAATTAGAGACCCAATTCGAATTTCATTTACTACGAATGCCTACACCGTTTCTACGTAGCGTAGACGTATCGCTCAGGACTACCCAAGACCAAGAAATGAAGTAGGACTTGGGTATCATCTTCGACTATTGCATGGCATTATTTGATGTAAGCTGCGTCCTGCGCTTTGCCGATTACTGCGGAGGGTATAGTAGATGGCAGGAGGTTTGTGCGATGGGATGAACGATGAAAATAAGATTAGCCGTGGAATACATGAGACGTATCATCCAGAAGATAAGATGAGACACTGATTCCCAAAGAAATCCAGTCACGCGGGAGGCAAAAGGGCGGCGCGGCGTTGGAAGCGGGCGCCCATTAGGCCTTCTTAGCAGCTCCACCGGGGCAGATCCTGGTCCGATCGCTGCATGGCGGTTGGGGCCTGGCCGGGGGGTTCCATCACCGCCTGATATCACCCGGTCCGGGGTGCCCATCACTACGTACCTTAGTATGTACAGTGTACTCCGTACACACTCCGACTGTTTAAACAGTGCACTCGCGGTGAACAGTCCATAGGACACAGCCCTGGTCCTGCTATTCTCGATCTTCCTTGGCGGTCTCCAGGTTTCACCGCAATTGCTCACCTCCCTGGCTACTGCTCACATTCCGCGCCAGCTCCTTGTCCACTTCGGGATTTTTGCTTTGGCATTTTGCATTTTGCATTTTGCATTTTGCATTTTTATTTTGTATTCTTTTATTTCCATAATGTTTTTAATAAAACTTTTTTTTTGTTGTCCCACCGCTCACCCTGTGCTCTCTTCTCCACTGTTTGCCTCTGGAAAAGAGAGCTCTTCGTTGCCCCTTTACCAATTCCTCCTGAATCCTTCTTTGCCTACATTTTTTCTCCAATGCGTAGGTAGTGTTTGTACTACATATACCGGTCCAGCCCTCCAGGAACCTTCTTATTTCTCCTCTCTCTCTTTTCATCCCCCTAGTCAATTTCTTTTGATTATGTGATTGACAGCAACTTTGGAGCATTATTGACGAAGCTCATTCTCCATTAATATTACCCTCACTGCTACTTCTCTTGCATCTACACCATACAAAATGTTCAAACCCACGGCCGCCCGTCAAGCCATCAAGGCTCTCAACCATGTCTCTCGCCCAGCTGCATTGACCGCGACTACCTCGCGGCCAGCTGTGACGAACTGCATCCGCTCCATTTCCTCTACGGCTCCGCGTGCGAAGAAGAACGAAGAAGACAAGATCAAGAATGATCCCCTCTTAACGGCAACGACAAAGGCCCCCGAGGGAACGTTAGGTGAAACAGAGGGTCGTTTTGCCCGGACAGATGAGAGCCTACAGATCGAATACCCTGACGACGAAAATATGCCGCGTTCGCCCGTTGTCCAAGGACGCGGTGGAATGCATTTCAAGCGGACGTTGTCTCAGTTCTCCCTGGAGAACAAGGTCACCCTCGTCACTGGCGGAGCTCGCGGTCTGGGATTGGTCATGTCTCAGGCTCTCGTTGCTTCGGGGTCGGATCTTGCAATTGTGGATTTGAACAGTGTGTATACCCATATGTATAGTTTTGGGGAGCGATTCATACTAATTGTTTCCTATAGAGAAGGAAGCCGAGGAACAGGCACTTAAACTGGTGGAGCAATTCCGCAAGGAAAACCCTGGGTTGGAGCAGTAAATCAATCTCAATTGATTCCGTCACATCACCCGCACGATGCTAACTGCAATCTTTCTTTGCCTAGAATGCCAAACGTGACCGCTCACTACACCGACGTGGCCAACCCCGACTCCGTAAACGCCGCCATCGCTGAGGTCATTTCCAAGCACGGCCGAATCGACAGCCTAGTGACCTCAGCCGGTTTCACCGAGAACTTCGATGCCATTTCCTACCCCCATGACCGAATGCGGAAGCTCTGGGGAGTTAACGTGGATGGCACATACCTGTTTGCGACGGGCGTTGCGAAGCACCTCATGGAACGTAAGGTCCCGGGCAGCATCGTGATGATCGGTAGCATGTCTGGTGCCATTGTCAACGTTCCCCAACCCCAAGCGCCCTACAATGCTGCGAAAGCCGCCGTTCGCCATCTGGCAGCTTCTCTGGCCGTCGAGTGGGCTGGTCATGACATCCGAGTCAACTGTATCAGCCCGGGTTACATGCTGACTGCTTTGTAAGTTTCTCAATTCGTTGCAATTATACTCGAGGAATTTTGCTAACATGGTCGGTTTCTCCTCCAGGACCCGCAAGATTCTAGACGAGAACCCCGAGTTGCGAGATAAGTGGATCTCGCTCATTCCCGCCGGGAAGATGGGCACCCCCGAGGATCTGATGGGTGCCGTTACGTTCCTCCTCAGCGATGCTGCGAAATACATCACCGGTGCGGATCTCCGTGTTGATGGTGGCTACACTCTTACCTAAGTGTATTGTTGTGTTGTGTTATACCCATTCGAACTGGTCACCGTCGGTGATCGGTATCCTACTTTACTTTCCTAATTATATAGTATGATGTACGAGATTACCCCAATAGAAAAGATCTGAATTGTTCTAAAAGTATCCTTGTTTCATGGTTTATTTCTCAAGAGATGTATATTAATTTTCTGTGGAAGGCCGGAGATATACAACGAGTAGCTAGCTCACTCGACAGTCAACGAATTCACATACTACCCCATTTTGATACCACAGCCTTTCATATTTGAAAGACACATTAAGGCAGGACATAAAAGGCCTTCTAAAGAACAGCCAGACTCAGAATCATGTGCAAGGACAAAAAGGCCCCTCATGATTGAAAGACATTCAGCAAAGACATAAGTAGCCTTCAATATGCAAGGTCGTTCTCGAACGGCAAATAAACGTACTCATCTGTCTCGTTGATCCTAAGACAGTGGTTAGATCCCTGCTATATTACCGTAGATGCGACTGCGGAAAGATCTACCTTGTATGTATGGACCTGAGACCAAAAGAGCTCTCTGTGTCTAGTGGTTCATTTGACACTTGTACCTAGCGCATTATCGAGCAAGGTAAAATGCACTCGGTATACATCACGACGGAGCTAGCTTTCGTTGAGGTGCATCAATTCTCAGCAATGGGTACTCGACATTCTGTACCGTCTCGAGGATTTTCTCCCTGTAGAAGAATGCCATGCCGGCGGTCAGTAGAAGCGACTGGATATAGAGGAGCCAGGGGATCTGGGATTAAGAAACCCTCACTTATTGGTCCATTATGAATCACGATGCGTTTCAAGCCGAACAAGAAGAGTCTCTCTTTCTTTCTCTCTTCCCCCCTTCATGGACGAAGAGTAAATTTGACTTCAAGAATGGCAGAGAACGTAGAAAGGACTAGGTCCGGACGGAGAGACAGAAAAGAGTGGTAAAGATCAAGAGCGTCGAGGATAGAGGAGTGAGGGGGAAAACAAGTAAAGAGATTGATTGCCACGGAGGGAAGGAAAATCTATCGTACTTTACAAAATGCCACTGGCCCTTCCACAGTAACAGAAGAGTCATATAGTGAATAATTCGTTTCATCATCCGGTGTCTGCCCGAGTTGCTTTGGCCACACGCCCAGGCTAGTGCCATCAAGTGAAGGTAGGTGAAAACATTTCATCCACTTTCCTCACTCCGTGGCAGGCACTTCTTTTACTTCCTTTCTTCTGCCCCTCACCAACGTTCTTTACCTTTACCTTTCTCTTTTGTCTGACTGCTGGAACGGACCCTCTCCGCATTCTTTATTATTTATCTATATGGAGGAAATGGACATTATCGAGTGGGTGCAGGATGCTGAGGATTCTTTGCTGGGAATCAACACGCATGAAAGAAAACGGAAACGCGAAGAGGATGCTTCATCAGATCAATCAAGCAAAAAGGTACCAGACCACTGCGTGACCAGCCCTTGGGCTCCAAATTTCCAATCAAAACAACAAAAACAGTGACCACCAGCATGGTCCAACTGAGAGACTTGCTAGTCAAGGCTGCCGATATCACAGGAGTCAATTCTACCGTATTTGAAAAATACCGATCGGGAGCTATATCTATCGGGTGGAATATTAAATACCTTCCATTTTCCTCGTTCAAACGTCAGCTACAGGCTTTGAGGGACCGACTGGATTTCTCTCTTGATCTCATGTTTGTACCTATAAGGTAATAAATAATTTCCGCAGTCGCAGCTGCGGGGATATAGAGCAGAGACCTGACCATTTTCTAGGACCAACAAGATGGATAAGGAGCATTGTTTACATTTCGAGGACGGGAAGCCTTTTAATAAGGGCCCTGATGTCACACCGTGGATATTCGCCGATTGCCGTCGCTTGGATGTCTGGTACCGCATCACTCGCTATAGATATGCCCTGAGCCCGTTTGAAGACATTATGATGAATCAAGTGTTCCTTCATGCTATAGCAGAAGTCAGGCCGGAAGCCAATACTCTTGACGATGAGCTCGTTAGATGCCTGAGCCTGATCGGCTCCGTCGTGGCCAATTTCATTGAGCTGGCCAGAATTGCAAAGATTGACTTACAGGCTCATTCAATCCCTGCGTCCATCGCTATGGTCTTTCAAGCTACTGAGTGGCATTTCTTTGTAGTCGACTTGTACTATGATGATCAGGAAGATACTTGCTTTGTTAGTACCCTCGGATCTTTCTCTGAGAGAGAGTCAGAGCTAACGACGACCTAGGCAATCAATGAGATCGAAGAGTTGCGTCTCATCTCAACGACAGCAGACGGATTATATCGACTCAAGAATATTGTCCGCGCTATTGCCGACTTCACTCTCGATACCTGGTGGTCCTGGATTAAAGATTTACTTCTACCTGGATTGGAAGCACTCGCTAGAGAAGCTAGTGATGAGCCGCATTATTCTCTCCAAGGTCCGGTGTACGATGCAGAATCATTTGATAGCGAGTCCGATAACCTGAGTCAGGATGGTTTTTCAATATCTGCGGTGCTTGGAGATGATGGGATTATCATCTGATTAACACGACTTGGATTCGAGCTACACTGGAAGACAAAGGTCTTAATGTAAAGAGAGAGAAAAGTTTATGATTTCGAGTGGCAGCTCGAAGTTTTGCCTTGCAAATATTAGTCCATTATCTGAATACCAAGCCCAATCTGGCTCTATACACCAATTTCCAGTAAAGCCAACTTATTGACTGTGTATGATTGGTAAGCTTTCTACTTCTGGGGCGGCACATCTGTTAAACCACAACGCGGGTATCTAAGGTGAAATCTGGTTTGAATTATGACAAATGAGAGCACACCAGTAACTCTGGTTGCAAAGTACTCAAAGACCAATGTTGGGTTTTGTTTGCGATAGATCTCTTGTTGCATCACCTTCAGCAAGATGTCATTGTTTTTCTTTGATCACTCTAGATCCGTGATGTGGGTCAGTTTAATTGCAAAGTGTGAGTTGGAGTCCCCAGTCCCACAGTAGTCTAATCCGTACCAAATACCAAGAACTACCAATAGTTATGCGAGACGACTGCTGACTGATTGTTGCTCTGTCCACCGACTCCGATAGGTAGTAAGAGCGCCGACCGCTCTACTAAGGTAGAGGGTTCGTAATAATCCCGGCGTCCGAAAGCAATGGCCGAAATAACTTAATTAAGCGCATACATACAGTACTGTAGAAGCATGTTTGTCCCCCCTGAAGTCATGTTTACCGTAACTTATTAATTGTCCACAGCCGACCCTGCCGCCAGGAGCTTCTGTACCGAAGGCAGGAAAAAGCAATGGTTGCTGTGACGTCGAATTTGGTTTGCTCTTTGGTGTTTTATGTACCGAGTCCAATCATATCTGGATTATTTGATTTGATAATTTAACACATTAATTGAAAACCCGTGACTGGATCTCGTTGGACTGAGGTTATTAAGTCATTCGTATATAGTTCTGGGAATATAGGGGATGGGTGAGGCTAAGGAGATTACGCTTCGGTTCGCGCGCCTGCATTGCTTATAGCGTGAGTATTATAGAGCTGCTCCTATATCGACTGATTATAACCCCAGGAAGTAAATAGTCCATATGGAGCGTGCCTATATTCAATCACCTACTGAGACATTGAGTTGATTCATAATTAGAAATATTATCTGCCCATGGGAAATATCTTGATAGAATGTGCCAATATCTGACGGAGTGCCTTTATAGGATCGGTTCATTGGCAGCTTCATTGGGTCCCTGGCCTGGTGTTAACCTAGGCCATTGCAGACTAGAGTTTTGACTCTCCGTGAAGGTTTGCTTCCCCGTGGGGTTGTTCTGTGTCATATGCTTCCGCGTAGTTGGGGGGTGGAAAGCCACTCTATCAGTCGGACGTGACCTGTAGGGGCATCCTCTAGGGTGATAGATTGGTTGTGATGTGTGTACGAAGTATCTCATAAATGAATCCATCGTACGTGAGAAATAATGAATAAAGAATAAATACTAACTACACCGTAGTAACCAACTTAACTAATGAATCCCCTCCCCCCCCCCCAAAGATTGGCTAAGCGAGCTAGACCCGAAGGAGGCAGGGACGGCCGAGTGATGGCATCAGGTGATACGGACGCGTGAGCAAGGGTCCCGCGGTTGGATTCGACCTGGCAAGTTTCCCTCGATTATCATCATCCAGGACCGATTGAAGTATGTATTCACTCAGACTACACCGTACGGAACAATTGTCTACTCGGTCCCACCGTCCCACGACCGGTGCCTGGCCAAGTTTGAAGTGACCGATGACTTGAGGGGATCTCGTCATCGACCAAGAAAGGTTGTGGGCCAATGGACCCGATCCCGACTGGATCGACGCAGTTAGTCTTGATTTAGGTCTGACAAAGACCGTGGGAACGCGCGATGGATTTCTGGAACTGGCACCGCGGCTGTCGACGGCGGTTCTTTGTCCCCCGTTTGTTTCGTATACGAGAGGAGGAAAGGAGAAGCAACAGAAGATTAGGCTGGCATGACTGACGTGGACTTTCCTTTTGATCATCACAATCTCCACGTAAATAAGACGATCTGTCTTTCCCCGGCCTTTTAGTCATTCGGAAAGCTCCGGCAGGTTAGATTAAGGCAGCTGGTGCCTAAAAAAAGGTCGATCGACTGATCCGGAGGTCAAACGGAGAGACGATATTATTTTCAGTCGGCATCTTTCGCTTCGGTCTGCGGCTGAAACACATTTATAAAGCAAGTATATAGTGCCGACATGTCTGCATCGATTTATTGGTGCTAATCTTGCTGGGTGCTTGTTTTCCTTTCCTCTTTCCGTTGACCACTGACAGCCAGCGGCCCTTGCAGCTGTTTACCCCAGACTGGCCTGCTTCATCCCTCACCCAGTCGCTGCAGCCTGCTTCATCCCCAGTCTTCACGCGTCATTCATTGGTCGTATATTGCCTGCCTCCCTGCTTTGCTTGTTAAGTATTCGTTGCCTCGCGAATTCACCGCCAGATATTTGCTGGCCGTGGCTCTCTCCCCGCCCTCCTTTCTCTTCCTCTCTACTTCTTTCTTCACTCTTTTGGTTACCCGTCCTCCTATGTTCTGATCGTCTTGACTGTCCGCTCTCCCGCCCGTCTGATCATGTAGTTGCTGGAACTGTACCCCTCCCCATTTATTATTCCGCGCAATGTCACCTTACTCCTCTACAATGGACGAGCTTCCCAAAGGGTTGGTGTCGACAACGGAACAGGTTCCAGCGACGCTTGGGGATGTGACTGCGGTGGATATCGGCGACATTGTGCAATTGTGGAAGGGTGAGCGCCGGCCGTTATGACTGTGGAGTGCCCAAGCCTGACTCACATCACCAGCCTATAGTGCAAATGCCTCGGTCCACGAGGGTGACATTGGTCACAGACTGGAGAATTTCTTCTGGCGAATCTGGAGCAGCGATGACCTCTGCCGGTCTATGCATGGGTCTAGGCTCGCCAAGCTGTTTCTTCGCATATCAGAGGCCAGTCCATTATCTCTCGCCACTCCGAAGCCGACAACTACCAAGGTCGGGAGAATCATATCGCAACGCCGAAGTGAGTTCCTACTAACAAAACCAGGCACCCAAGGAACGACTTCACACCAATCTGACCCCGACTGAGGATAAATCGCCATCGAGTAATGGGTCCAATCGCACGCCTATGCCCCCACCCATCTTGAAGAAGTCCAGTACATCGCACGGAGAGACGCAGAAAACCACGCGACTGCTCCTCACTGGAATCGGAGGGCAGAGTATCACTCGCAAACCGTCCACCCCTCCCGCTCCGGTCCCTCCCCCCAATAGGAAGGCTTATTTTGTAGCGAGCAAAGGCAAGACTACCAAGCGACGACCGGTGCTTATGCGACGCAAGTCCTCCCAGACATCCTCCGGTACAACTACTCGTGCGCATAGCCCGCAACGGATCCCAACTCCGCTGACCTCCACGTCCCCGGTTCAAATGTCTGAATCAAGCAGTGACAGTACAGGGGAGGAAGAGCCAGCAGTGGAAGGTAAGTGTTCTTTCTTGCCCTTAGCAATAGCCGATTCCTAATCATTTACTATCAGAACCTCCCGATCCTCGCGAGGACACCAAAACAATTACCAAACTGAATGAATTACCCGTATCATTTGTCGCCAATCTGCAGGAAATCCTGACCCCATCACAAGGTACCAAATCGACGCCTCCCAAATGGGGCTTTGTGACCAGCGACGACTTCACCCACTACAATATTAACTTCCTCTCAGCAGAGAACTACGCACCCCAACCCTCGTCCTCGTCGCTCGTCGACAAGGATTTTCGCATGCGCTTCGCGGAGAGACGACGTCAGGAATACGAGGGATTGGCCTCGTCGCTCGGAGAAGCTGCACATGCAGACGCCACTGATGGCGCACCTCCAGCCGCTACTAATGACATCTCGAAAGCCGTGCTCCCCAGCGACCCCATCTGCACACCATTTCCGAAGCCCGGATCCTCGCCTGACGAGTGGGCGTCTTCCGCTGACTCTGGGATTCCTATCATGACACCCATCGGGTCCACGTTTAGTGCAGGGCGCGTGACTACCGACGCGGTCTCGTCACCGCAGACGTCGATGTCTGCATCGAAGGGACGGAGCCAACTCAGCGTATTGATCGAGGGGAGTCGCAATAAACAAGCTGACGCCCAGGTGATGAGCATTCCTGAGACCGAGCTAGATTCGTCAGGAAGATAAGATATGATAGGATAGTCAGGTCACGACCATACAATACTCCTAGATTGAATCAGAATTAGGGTTAGGCCTAGGATACTCATGGCGATCTTGGAATGAAGGATTGTAGTACTCCGTTGACACAAATGCAATCATATTATTAGTAATGACATTAATGCTCTTTCAGTGACATCATCCCTTATTTTCTAAGCATGTAAACGAAACCTGACTCCAATAAGACAATCAAAAAAACAAACCATAAAACATGAGTGCATGCAATGCAATGCAATACCTTCCAACCTCCATCCCATGACCATCCTGCACAGGATACAACCACCCAACCTCACCCACCACCTCATAAACTAAACAACCTCCTTCTCCTCCACCTCCCTATCCTTCCCAACCACATCCTCCTCCGCCGCCCTTCCCCTTCCATTCCTCCACCATCTCAACCAAGCCCATGCGGTGCCTCCAACAGCAAGGACCAAACAAACCAAATCAACCCAAACCGCCCTCCTCATCTTCTTCTTCTCCGTCCCCAAGAACTTTCCCGCAAAGATCCCAAACACCACCAACCACAATATCACCCCGAGCGCCTGCCACGCAAACAGCCCCAGCAAAATACCCGCCTTGCCACCAACGCTCCTCTGCTTCAGAAACGCCACATAAACCAACAGCGTCATCGCGGTGACACAGCCCAGAAACGCCGTGACGACAGCAAACACCCATTCCGGGGACGCAGAGTCTCCGCGTTCGTGCGCATTGTGAATATCAGAACTGTAGAGGGCCAGGACGGCGATGCCGAAGATGAGTTGTACTGCGTGGAGGGCCAGGCCGAGGTAGTATTTCAGGGGTTTTGGGGGAGGCGGGGGCGTAGGTTGGAGGAAGGAGCGCGCGGCCATGGGGATCGAGGATGGGTTGGTTGTGTCGTCGGGGTTGCCGTTAGGGTTGTTCTTTTTGGCGTGTTGTTTTTTGGCTTGCGAGAAGCCGAATTTGAAGATTTTGAGGAGGATAAACCACATTTTTTCGGTTCTTTTTTTGTGTTCTGTTCTTGTGGTTTGGTTTTGTATGGGTTTTCTTGGTAGGTGGGAGGTTGGTATGGTAGTGTGGTGTTGTATAGAGAGTTGGATCGATTGGTAGATATGGCGAGAGGTTTCGAGGTAGGCAGATAGGTAGAACGGTAGGTGGTATATCGTATGTATGTATGTGTAGTGTAGGTATGGATGTATAATCCTCGTCCAAGAAAATAAAGATCTGAGAATCAAGGGACAGTTCGATGCGCCAGCGCAGTCAATTAAAGTAAGGCGATATAAAAAGATCTCAAGTAAGGAAGAACCGGAAGTATAGGGTGATCAAACAAGGAGAACAATAGCCCTGACAGAGGGATTGACAGACCAAACGAGAAGATAAACAAGGATAATAAAGGAAAAGAATAAAGCCAACACAACTCAATGAATGAATGGCTGAATGAATGGATGCTGAATAAAACCAGTCCCCATTGTCTGCAGCACACCTCCCCTTTATATATACGATTTTTGTCTCAATCCCAGACCTGACTTCCTCCCCAGTCTCCCTTCCCTGCCCTCTCTCTCAACTAGGTACATACTAGTTACTCTACACCCCCAGTTCCAGAACTAAATATAACTCACTCGTCCTAGACAGTCCAGTCCTGGCGACAAACCGGCAAACGCCTCTCGTCCATTGATCCCAGTATCGACTGCTGCGTCTGAAACCCGTTGTCGACGATACGCGCGCGCCAAGGGGCCCCAAGCAAACGGCACGTCGGGGTTCAAACTTCAAACTTCATACTTCAGCCAGACAATGGGTAAGCGCCTAGCGGGTCATGCAGAAAATAGATACTAGATACTAAACGATATCCTAGCTCCTATGGACTGTCGATCCGACGGAAGCGCCCGCGGAGTGGGAATGTCTGACCCAGTCGGGCTGTCTGACTGGTTGCTGGATAGGCGCCGGGAGGGACGATGGAAACACCTACCTACCCCTAGGGCAGCTACCTATATTTAACCTCATGCACCAAATAGACATGCGATTGGATACCCTGGTTGTCATGGGCCCAGGGACTAATGAGATTCACATCTACACTGTAGATGGATACGATACCCTTCAGGCAGATGCCAAGTGACAGTCTTCCAATTAAACTATGTAACTGTCCTATTCAAGCCCGAACTGGATCGTTTCATCTTCGAAACTCCTTCCTCTCCTTCCTCTCCTCCTCCCTCTCCTCTCCTCTCTCCTCTCTCCTCTCTCCTCTCTCCCTCATTTCGCGCGCTCCTCCTCGAATTCAGTCCTGCTAAAATTACCTATGCTCATTGGTAGACTCTCCCGCAGAAAGGCCCCAAGAAAAAAAAGACAAACAAATAATGCTCCACAAATACCATGTTCCTGACCTAAAACAAAAAGCCAAGGAAGAAACGTTTCAATGCACATTCATTATGCTGCTGGGCGTGATGCTCGTCAAACCGGAGTGGGGATTCATTGATGCAAAAAATAATCGTCCGAAAAGACAATCAGAAAGGGTAGGATGTAATAAAGAAAAGAAAGGCTAATGAGTAATTCATGCAAAGAAGAACAAAGGCAGAATAAATGAACAATGAGAGGAAGTGGGCACACAAAGAAGCACAGAAATACACGAAGAAAAGCTGACTGCCGTGATGAAGGTCGCTCACGACAAAGCACCGCTGTCAGGGCGGTCGATTGGTCCCTCCGTCGGCTGCGCCTTTGACGCTGGAGGCCATCTTCGGCGGCGGCCCTGGCGGCAACGGCGACTTGAGCGTGGCGGGAGGCGGTGCGGGAGGCGGTTCGGCGACGGTTTCGTCCTCGTAGTCGTGGGCGGGATAATCATCGTCTTCGTGCGCTTCCGGTGGTCCTGTAGATGAATGGTCTACGGCGCTCCGGTCGTACTCCGGCTCATATGCCGCTGGTTGGCTGGGTGCATTCTTGGCAGCGTTCTTCGTCGCTTTCTTGTTCTTGCGTCCTTTCATCTTTGCCTTCTCCAACAGTCGCTTCTTCTCCGCCAAGCGCTTGCGTTCCTTGCGGTCCTTGATCTCGTACTGTCGGATCAGCGCCTCGGGAGGGCGGCCAAATATACTCTCATACTCGCAAAATTCGCAGATCCAGATGTCTTCCAGGCCGGGCGGATGCTGAAGGTTGGTGTACTGCTGCTGAACCTTCCGCTGTCGCGCGGCCAAGGCGTAAATGCTACCCGGGGAACGCTTCTTCTTCCGACCGGCCGGTGGCGGTTCGGCGCCCGCGACTGGTGGTTTCATTTGCGAGGCGGCCGGCGGGCTGGTCTGTGTTCCTTGCGTGGAAAAGGCGCGCGGGTTCGGTGCCGTGGGGGTGACAGAGTTAGGAGACCGGGGAGAGCGATGCTGAACTGGATGGGTGTTCTGCGGCTGCATGGCCATCCCCTTGGACGAGTCCGATTCGCACGTAAAGGTGAACTGGGTTTTGGTGGGCGTGGTGGGCCGCCTTTGTTCGAGCATACTGACGTTGCCCGCGCGAGGAGGCGACGAAAACGCCGCAGCGGCAGCATTGGCGATGGCGGCGGAGATGATTCCCGGCTCAGATTTCGGGGCCGGATCGCCCTCCCCCAAAGCACCTTTATCCAACATACCTGCTGGCCCCGAAGAGGGCAGCAGACCGTCCCGACGACCAGAGACTCGACTTTGATTCATGCCAGCCTGCGCGTGAACGATCGCTTGAGGAGCCCTCGACGGAGCGTTGCGAGGCGGACGCGCCAGACGGCCACGTCCCGGCCCCGAATTTCCATTGGCGACTGCATTGGCGACTGGCGATGCCGGGCTCCCCGTTCCATAAAAGGTACTCACGTGGCTTCCATCCATCTGCGGGGGAGGTGTTTGGACAGAGGTGGCCAGGCCCATGTTGGAGAATTCAGGTGAGAGGGTGGAGTGATGACTACTCCCTAGGCTGCCCGGGGTGGGGATCTTGCGTTTCTTCTTGTTGTTAGTGTTCTCGAAGGCATCGTACCCGTCGGGACCTGCCGAAGGTGTCTTGGTCGGTGGCCCTTCCCCGTTGCTGGGGAGCGGATGGGGTGGTGCAGTCGGCGACAAGGACGACCCGCGGAAGCCGGCACTGCGACGAACCACCACTGGAACATCCTCGTCCCCGCTCTCCAAGTCGACCCCGTTCTCATACAGCAGCTGAGGTTCCCGCTCGAGTGTCGGTGCCGGGCCGTCACTCTGTTGCACGTATATCTTGGATTCATTCACGGCTTCCCTGCTGTCCGCACCGCCTCCATAGAAGAGCTGCGCTGCCGGGGGGGTCGGAGGATAGAGGATTGTATCGGCCGCATCGGAGGACAAGCGCGAGCGCAGGGTACGTTTGGGAAGGGGACGAATCAGCCTGTCCGGATAGACTGGGGACGGGGTATCTGGGGCCGTATTATACATCCCATCTGCGGAGAGGGGGACAATATCAGCACCTGAACCAGCAGATCCTCTTCAACCTCTCTCACTCTCTCTCTTGCGGGAGCTGGCCATCCGATTTCAAGCAGATTGTACACGGTCAGGCCAGATGATGACTTCCCGAGAGGAGCAAACATCCCGGGTGAAGAAGCACATACTCAACGTAGCTGTCATTATGCCAGAATCTAGGCCCTCTCGACCTCCACGACCACAGCCGAACGGCTTCTGCTGTCTCCTTATGATCCAGTCCAATGCCGGGTGGAAGGGAAAGGAAGGTGTGAGCTTCTCGCTTTCCGGCTCTCTTGTTTTGTGTCCTTATGATTTGTTTGATTTCCTTTAATTTTTTTTTTCTGTTCCAGATGCACCACCCTCCAGGTCTGAATAATATCTATGACCACCAATACTTTTTTTTGGATCTTGTTTTGACTTTTTTGCCCGAATTCCTTCTCGTTCTCGAATATGGTCGGGGATGGATTATGGAGAGTGGGAGGGATGGACGAAATATGGAGACGTTCCTAGACCGCACTACCCACCGTCAGTTGTCAGGTTCGAACAGCAACGCTGGCAATTCGGAGCCCACACATTCGGTGCCTAATGTGACGGAGAGATTCTGCCAGTCTTGCACACACCGGCGGCAAGACCCAAATCCAGCGACAGGAAAGTAGAGAGGTCTTACCCGGTGCCCAAAAGAAAGTAGCGGTGGTTGTCCTGCACCAAATGGCTGCAGACTTTTGTTGTTCGGTAAAAAGAATCCCCAGGAACCAAGAAAACGAGAACCGGCCGACCGATCACTCCGACAGTTACTCCATAAAAGGGGGGAAGGAGAACAAAACCACGCAAGAAGCAGCCAGATGCACGAAGAGCCAAAAAGCAAGAGCAAGGACCGCAGTCCGACGACAGACGGGCCAGACCAAGCTCAGAGACGGGGGTGGAACGGAGGGGAGGGGAAGTATAGGCAGACTGGACAAAGTACAGGCAGTCCGAGCCAAGTATAGGAGAGGGAAAAAGGCGGAGGGGAACGACTGAGCGAACCTCCGGTATTACGTTAATAATGCCTGGGTGCCTTAGCTTTTCCTCTGCGATTCCCCGCCGCTGATTGGCCGCCTGTCCGGGTCTAGAGTGCCTGAGGCCTGCATCTACCGCTAGTCCCGGTTCGGACGGGTCCCTCTGTCTCTTCGATTCCATTCTCTCCATATTTAAGTATTAGCTGGTGGTTGTTGATATCATGTTTTGCATCTCAGAACTAACTCTCGAAGTGACTAGGTATCTTCTTCTCTCACTGTCCTGCCCGGAAAAGACGAGTCCCCTCTACATCCCTTCCGTCTCCTCTCCGAACTAAATCCAGGTACCCTGCAAGCACCAGGACTCAGCAGCGCACCTTGCGTGGATCACCTTCACTGCCGTTCGGTAGCCAGCAATTCCCGTGTTACGCCATGTTCTACAATGAGCAAGGTTCGGAGCAGTTCCTTTCCCCCCTCGAGGACGTGACCTACCTTCCTCTCCATATCTTGTGTCCGCTTAGTCCCGCTTAGTCGAGAGGTTACAGACAGGCGCGATTCCTCATCCATTGGACTTGTCCCATTCCCCAAGTATCATTCTTGCGCGCGACATAATTTCGGGATTAGGTGAGCCTTCTCGTGCGATGGGTTGCCGGTCCCGGTGTTTCGAGGCACCTAGCTTATCCTCTCGGCCCCAGTCTGTATGACGTTGTCCACCAAACCTGGGATCGGAATATGTATACCATATTCATTGGGACCTGTTTGTTTCTCCGACACTCTCTGAAGAAAAGTTGGAACTCTCGTAGAGGAATATGGGCTAGAGGGTACGGATCGGGTTTCGTTGCGACGCTGTGCGGACATCTTCCGTGCTCAAGATTATAACCGTTCTGAAGATGGGGAAATAGGAATCTTGTAAGCAGGACTTGATCAAAACCTTCCAGCGAGAAACGGAAGGGGAGGAATGCAGGTTGAAAGGGGCTTCGGCGAAGGTGGGAAGCGGGGTCTTTTTTCTCTTTGGTTGGAATGGGCGAGGGATTCTCTATCGTCATCAGTTCAAGCGACACTGGCACCTGGTCGGTGGTACAGACCACGAGGGAAACGCACTCTCAAAAAATAAAATTAAAAAAAGAAGGAGAAAGGCAGAAAAGCACAAGGAGGGGAGGAAGCGAGCGAGATGATCGCGTCGAGAGAGAAGCGGGGAAAAGCCGCCGTCGGTTGACCGCAAACCGCGTCCCGTTCCCGGCGTTCCTTTCGCTGCTCTCGCCGTCTCTCTGTCTCTCTCGCTCTCCTCTCCTCTCCTCTCTTTTCTGCTCCCCACCCTCTCTTCTCCCTCCCTCTCTCGCTCAATCTCCAGACTATGTAGCCCTCGCTTTCGCTGTGGGCTTCCCGACGCAGTTTTTGGATCGTACATGTCTTTGGTCTCAATTGCCTCGGAATCCTACACTACCTTTTCCCTCTCTTTTCTCGCTCCCCTCTTGCGTCCCTTGTGCCAGTCGCTGTCGAATCCCAGCTCTCCACCCGCGTGCGACAGCTTGCCCACGGCTAGCTCTTGTTCGCCTGCGTTGTGAGCTGGATCGGTTCTCTATCTTCATTTTTATAAACTTTTCTCTCCTCTCTATCTTTTCTCTTTTGTTTTTGTCAGAGTTCTTTTTATCCTTAGCTACCCGCATCGACCATGACTCCTCGTCGTTCTTCTCGTGCTCGCACCTCCCAACCCTCGCCCGCCGTTTTTCAACACACTAATTCGTCTAGCTCCTCCAACTCCCTCACTCGAGAAAGGAGCACTAGATCGAACCACAAAATCCCTTCTCCTAACCGGTCCCAGTCCATCGACGATGCGGACGAGGGCTCCAAGAATGACTTCCCACAAACGCGCCAGCGCCAGCGCACCAGGGGCGAGGAGGACAATGTGATAAACGGTGATGGGGAGGAAGAGGAGCCGGAAGAAGATGACGAGGAAGAGGTGACCCGTTGTCTTTGCGGCCAGCAGGAATATCCAGGTCTCCCCCCTTCTCGTCGAGAAGCTCTTGGTCGCAACGGGGTTCATGGTAAACTCAAGGAGGAGTCTGCTCTGAACTTGCCCGCAGACTCGTCGGATTTAATGTCCGATGAGATCGGCAGCATGTTCATCCAGTGTGATTCCTGCAAAGTATGGCAGCACGGTGGCTGCGTGGGAATCATGGATGAAGCGATGAGTCCCGACGAATATTTCTGTGAGGAGTGTCGGAAAGACCTCCACAGAATAAAAAACGAATCCAATGGGTCAGTTAGAACTTCTCACCTTCCCCGAATTCCCTAAATTCCTGCAGGAGACATCGTCCGTTGCACATGAAGGAGAAAAATTTTCAATTATTCGAGTTTTCCTCATGAGGTCTCTCGATTCTGTGTTCTCCAGCCTGGAAGACGAGCGCGATACTCTGCTGCCATTTCTTTCCTTGCTATCTCTTCTCCCCCGATTTCCTCGCTCCTTCGGTCGATGCCATTGATTTGCCCGTTGTTACACTCTTGCTTACAGCCATGCAGGCAACATTCGTCCACGTACCTCCCCGTTGCTCCCCCCTCGACCGCAGCATCCTCTCGTGAATCCTCCCGAGATAATTCGAAGCGTTCCAAGGACCCAAAATCTCGCGGGGGTGACTCGGCTGCCAATCCCAAACGTCGCTCGACCATGAACAGTCGTGACGCAGCATACGACGAAGAGGAGCTAATCCGTCGTGCAATCGAGGAGAGCAAGGAAGACACTTCCAGTCCAGCTGCGGAAGATGCGACCGTTCGAAGGCCCAAAAGGAGTCGCAGCGACAGCGAAGCGTAAGAAACCCGCCCCCTCGAAGAAGATAGCGGGGGAGTATTTGAGATGGCCGATAATTGTAACTAACCCTGCCGATGCAGTCAGAAGCAGGCCCCCAAACGACAGCGTACAAGCTCTCCTTCCCCCGGTGCCGCCTCGAAACAGAGCGTTCCCCCTTCCCAGCCCGCTTCGGACGACGAGAAAACAAAGGCAGCCACAAATGGGATCCGGAGACAGAGAGCTGTATCTCGCAGCCAGCGTGACAAGGAGACGAAGGAGGTCGAAGAACCTGAGGCGGAAAGTTCGGAGGCGACAACTCGACGGAAAGGGAAGACCGACAAGAGGAAAAGCGATGGTGTGTATATGAAGACTCCCGCCATTTGTGAAGTCAACACTAACGACGACAAAAGGCACTGATTCCGACCACGAAACGGGATCACCAGCCAAACCGGTTGCCAACGACCCTGTACCTCCGCAGCCCAGTCCAGACCCTCCTGCCCCCGTTCAAGAACCTGCGCCACCCCGCCCTTCCACCCGCAAGTCTGGTCGACCTCCCGCTCGCCGAACTCGGGTGGGACGGAACCAATATACTAGAGATCGCGACGCTTTTACCAGTGGGGCCGATTCGAGCATTATGACAAACTCCCCGCGACGGGGCCAGTCGCATGATACTGGGGGAGATTCGCCGAGAGTGGGCGGCGCCAACGGGGCGCATATAAACGGTGGAGAGACAGGGAAACCCAGTCGGCCTCGCTACGTGAATCAGCGAACGACTTTGAATGAGATGAAGAGACGGGTCGCAGCAATACTGGAATTCATATCTCGAATGCAGGTGGAAATGGCTGTCGCCGGAGAGAGTTTCACCACACCCCCCGGTAACGGCGATCGACCCAATGGCATTATCCTCAAGGCCGTGGGCGATCAACTCGAGAACGTATTGCTATCGACGGCAAGCGAGGGTGAGTCCGCCACCGGCACCGCTGATAGTGACGTCGGCACCGGGCATTCTTTGGAGAAAGATTTCAAGGAGCTTACTAGTGTTGAGATGATGGATGTTCTCACACGACATTTGTTAAAGTGGCAGCAAGAGTATGGTAAATTTGGAGAACGGTGACCCCGTTGTCCTTTGACTCCTTTCTCTTCCCCTTTCTCGAGATCTATCTATACCTTCTTCCTGGGCAGCCTCATCCCATCTTGGGAGGGGCTTTTGACACGCACGATACCCTATTTGTCTCTTCTCTCCACAATGTGGATATGTATTATATGGCTACTGGAGCAGCATCTTGAACCGGATCCGGTCGTGGCGTTTTTACATGAATTCTTATGGCAAAGAGCCTTCTGATTCTTCTTCCGATGACATTTTCTTTTATCACTCGGCATGCCGGCGTTGTGTCCCTCTCTCTGGTCTACTTTCTTTTGCTTGGACGTTGCTTTTTTTTATCGCTTGGTATGATATAGGGTATATTGATCAAGGACTTGCATGGCTCCAGCTCTGTTTGATTACTGCTTCTTTCCATTCTTTGTTTCTATATTTACAGGTAGCTTATGGCCTTTATGCAGATTATATGCCCTGACAGATCTTGTTTTCTTTTCAATATATCGGGTGTTTTGGGGTTTTTCGATTCAAGGAACAATTCTCCCCTGATCTACCCTGGCGGACGATGATATCATCGGCCGTGTTTGACAGTTTTGTCTCCGCTGCCGAAAGGAAAGGTGCGGGGGTCAGCCCTCCCCTCAACGTCCGAGTCAGCCAGGCACCTTGAGAAGGATGCAATCCCTGGCTGTCAAGTCTGCTTTGTCTCTGCCCTTCCAATCACACCCTGTCAATTGCTCTAATGTGGTTGACGTCTTGGCCTGCGGGGTATTCCTCCGATTTACTTTCAGTTCCAAGGCCCTTGGCACCAGGGCAAACCATGGTACTTCCAACCTTTTGTCTACGTGAATGATATATCGACATGGAAGATTTTGTGGCCACCAGCCGTCAGCATTGAACACACCTATAGATGAAGCAGCCTCAGTCGCGAATCTACCGGCTATCAGGATGCCTCCACACCAGCACGTCGTTTACAGCGATGTGTTCAGGGCGTCCTCATAGTGGGAGATAAAGCCCAGCACGATCAAGCTGGACCTTAGAAGGATCGAATAGAATGTTGCAAATAACACAGCTACAGGCATTGCCCTTGGTCCTTAGAAGAACCGAGAGCGGTACCTTGTATCTGGTTTACATTTTCTCTTTCGAAGTGGAGACTCCACATTTATATCATCCTGCGGAGCCAGAAGCGCTATTCTGAGCGCAGGCTAGGTCCCTATCAATTGTGACGACTCTGCTCCATTTTTCTACAGCGACAACGAGGGTTTGAACTACATTACACCGCTCTGAAGCCCGTGAGATTGTATATTCATTATTTTATTTGGTTCAAATGCGGTTCTTAGACTGACATCAAGAAATATATGTATAGTCTACAGATAGATATTCAGTGTCAACTGACCATCAAGGATGCCCTCTACAATAACAGCACCATGACAGCGCCTCTCTCGATATAACCATTCAATGCGGATTTCTTCGGCTACGGAATCGGATTTGAATGTCATTGGAAATACTTATCCCGCGGGTTGGACATTCAAAAGAAGCACAGTTTTGGTTTGGACTTTAAAGGCCACTCCTGTGTTCAACTTCCAGATGGTATGCGTTCGTTGAAGATTCACAAATACGTGGGGGAAAAGCTTTGGGAAAACAGGCTCAATAACAGACTTTCAACTCTGGGACGACAACAGAAAAGATAGGTAAGTATCTGAGTCTATGCAATTCAACTGTATCTCGACAAGCAGTGTATGCTTCAGTCTAATGCCCGATGTGTTTTTAGGTTTATGATGGCAAATTCTGCGCCAGATATACAAGCAAGGCCGGCTGGCCCAATGGCAAGGCGCTTGACTACGAATCAAGAGATTGCAGGTTCGACCCCTGCGTCGGTCAATATTTTTGAATCCCCACCACTTCGAGTGGGGAAGCTTGGTCATTGAGATATCGTTGAAAAAATGTGGTGCCGTTCCAAATTTCGACGGTGGGACGGACGGAAAAGATTTTTGGGTCTCGGCTGTCGGCCGCCGTCGTTGCGGCCAAAATGATAAAATCAATAACACCGACCGACGACCAGTTGGGAATTCTTTCAGGTTATTTTTCTTCTTCTCGGTTAGATAATTCGCTCGCATTGGATATTTCTATGGATGCAATGCTGGACGTGTTGAAAATCTAATGCAGAGTTTCTACTTCCGATATCTTAAATTGCGTGTCTATCGCAGTTTAAACTTATGACATGTCCTAGGTCAAAGGCGTACAGAACATACATACATACTTGAACACATGGTGCGACTAATGCAACTTATCTAAAAGGATAAGATAGACAGGAACATGGACAATTGAATAATAGTCATGCCTTGTTGCCTTCTTGGACAGGTGGACTGTTCGAGATGAACGATGTTCAATGCTAAAGGCACAACAGAACAGAAGGTCGAACAACTCTAAAACTTTACAGCTTCAAACAATAAATACAATAGCTGAGAATGGGGATGGCACAGAAGATAAGACACGTCAGTCTACATAATCAGATTCCAACATTACGGTTGCTAGTTACAAGGAGAAGGCCCATGATACAGATTGAAGCAAATTGAACATTTTCCAAGGCCATTTCCCATCATCCATAATCCAAGGTTCAGATACAAAACTCGCAGGTCGTCAAGGATCGTTTGCTGCACAATAGAAGATTCGTCGCGCGGGTGGAAATAAGACTGCGGGTGTGACGTCAGTTGGAATGCTACGTTCCCTTTGTCACTCGCGTGGAGCCATTGTGCGAGAAAGACTGGGTCGGGGAGGAAAAAGAAAGAAAATGGGAGGAAACACTAACCGATTCCCGAGGCTAAACCGTTCCCGGTAGCGGATCTACAGGCGGGAAGCGTGGATCACCTTGTAGTCCACCACCAGCTCACGACCGCCGTCGTTGATGACCAGGGCGCGGACGCTGCCACGGCCATCCTCGAACGCCTCACGAATGCGACGGAAGAGGTGACCCTGGGGCACGACGGGCAGACCCTGCTTGACGTCACCGGACTCCGTCATGGCGACGAGCTTGCCGTCGTCACGCAGGTCCAGGATGCGGTAGGTCTTGTAGACGGGACCAAGCATGGTCTGGACCACGACGGAGGGCGAAGGGTTGGAGATGAAGCTGGACTCCTCGTGCAGTTGACGGGTGAAGAGGTCGACACCCAGGTAGCGGTGCTGGCCGGTCTGAGGGGAGACGGAGATACGGATCACCTGGCAGGGACGGCCCTGGAGGATCAGGATGTCGCCGATGCGCACAAAGTGGCAGGGAATGGGCACGGATTCGGTGGTGGCGCCACCGCCGGCACGAGGCTCGACGATGCGCACATCCTCACGAACACCCTCCCGGAATCGAACTGGTCCGCGATCGTCAGCAGCGACGACAACATCCTGGCGTTCGTGATGATGGTCATGATCATGGTGGCCATGATGATGATGATCATGGTGATGGAAGGGGTGCATGATGCGGTCGGCAGCGCGTTCCACACCACGACGGAAGGAGTGGTAGTTACCGTCGTCGTCGTAGTAGCCCATCTTGCGAGCAGGGGGGTGATCAATCACAGTCTTGGTCTTGTAAACCTTAAGGTTGGTGGTCTCTGGGGCCGGAGCGGGAGCAACGGACTCTACGTTGAGGTCGCGACGGCTGAAGGAGTCTCCGCGGTAAGCTTCAACGGGCGGGGGCTGGAAGGCCTGGTCGTAGGAGACGTTGGTCTGCTGGGGGCGACGGGGAGATCGGTCGTAGACCTGGGACTCGGCGGTGCGGTCGTAGGAGACGTTGGCCTGGGGGCGGCGGGAAGATTGGTCGTAGACCTGGGACTCGGCGGTACGGTCGTAGGCGGTACGGTCGAAGGTGTGATCAACCTGGGACCGGGCAGAACGGTCGTAGACGTCGGCGGTCGGGTAACGGTGACTTTCGAAAGACTCTACAACGGCGGGACCCTGAGAGCGGCGGTCCGATGGGGAGACGTCGTAGGTGGGGTCGGTACGACGACGATACTCACGCTCAGTGATGTCGAGCTGGGACTCGAGAGCCTTATCGTAGGTTTGAGGACGGTCTTGGAAGCGGACCGAAGGTTCACGGTACCTAAAGGGGGGGGAAGGTGGGTGAGCGGGTGAGCGGCCGGGTAAGGGAAGTAAGAAGATAGATAAAACAAAACAAACAAGGAGCAGAAGTGGGTTGGGGGGCCGATGATTGGTGTGATATATGGGGAGTGGTTGGGGACGGATTGTTTTGATTTGATTTGTTTTGGTGCCACGTAATTAGTTCGGGGGACTAGATCATGCTAGTCCCGGAGGCAAGCTGAAAAAAGCCACTGGCGGCAGGCGGTTTGGGGTGACACCGCTTGTTGTGCTGCTCTCCACTGTGGGTATTTTTGGGTGCGAAAGCAGCGCCCGGTTGCTCTTCTCCTCTTTCCACCGCAGCAAGGGCAGAAAAATAGAAAATAAACAAGAAAATGACAATGAAACTGAAACTGAATGATCTGAACACACACAACAAAAGTACTTACTGTTCACGAGCTAGATCAACTTCGGGATACCGGTTCGTCTGATGACGCTCCTCGTAGACGAAGTTGTTGTTGTTGGTGTTGTTGCCGGCGTGAAAGTGGGCGTGCTGGTGTTGCTGGTCGTTACCACCGTGAGTGGTACGAGTCTCGCGCTGGAAACGAAAGTCGACTTCTTCCTGACCGTGGGCACGGGGATCTGGAAGAGGAGCAGAGGTTCGAGTATCTTCCCGTTCGACGTGCGAAGTACGATCGAGATTGACTTCTCCCTCTACTCTTTCGGTCTCAAGAGTAGTCTCAGGAACAGCGTCACTCCGGTACGACGACGGGAAGACACTGAAGGGGATGGGGACGCGGGCGTCAAAGTCCAGATTGGCTGTCCTTTGAGCGTCTTTTCTCGAATGCCTTTCGAACTGTTTGAAAACAACTCGAAAGGCTAGACAAGAAAAGACTTTTTACTCGGGGGAAGTCTTTCTCGTGAAGAGGTGGGGTTTGGTGGGTTGAGAATGATAGATCGATCAGATCTATGATTCGGGGAATGTAAGATATATGAATTGGAATGGGGGGGGAAAGGTGAAAGGGGGTGGGTGGGGATAAATGATAAGCTTATTGAAAACAAGCTGTATCAGGGGGGAATGTGGGAATGGAGGGGGATGGAAAATGGAAAGAAGAGGATGAAGAGGAAGGGAGAAGAGGAGAGAAGAGAAGAGAGGAAGTAAAGGAAAGAGAGAGAGGAGGGAAGAGGACGAGATGATACGGCGGAGTATTAAAACCGAACGACCGCGCGGTGTTTTGTTTTGTTTACCGCGCGTTGCCTCTTTCGGCCCTCCAGCCTCTTCTCTGCCTGATTTCTGAGGATCTCTCGTTCTCTCTTTCTTTTTGTTCGTCCCGAGGTTCTTCCTTCCCTCCTCGTGTCTACCGAGTACTACACAGTATCATTCTACGAAAAGACGCCATCTCCCCATCCCCAGTCCAGAAGCTCACCCTGCAAAACACCGGAATCCCCATCCATAGATATACATCCGGATGGAGAACCCCTCCATTCGACACCATTTGTTCACCGCAATCAATGCGTCGTGCTAGGTTGCTAGACTCAGGGCTGGCTCCATTTTCCTGACCGAAGCGCCTGCAGATGAGGCTTCTTCACATGCAGATGGATGATTTGCTAGCCTCAATCCTTTTTTGCTCGACCGGTGCTCCGGATGGGTCTCTTTCCCCCTCCTTTCTCCTCCCGAAACCCCCGATCGAAAACGAGGTTGGCCAGCAACCTGTCCCGGTGTCCCCAAATCGCCATGGCAACCCGTCTAGTCTCTCCCCGGGTCGAATCGGAAATCTGGATCCCTTGGCGTGACGAGACCAGGAGCTGAGAGCTCCAGATGATCAGCGCTTTTGGGGATTGAGTTTTTTTTTTGGTCGATTTGGTTAGTATTTTTTACGAAGATGCCTGATTATGGATCTATCCTTCCTTGCCTTGCCTTGCCTTGCCGGATACTTCAAGTCGTGGGAAAGAAAGAATCAATTCTCCTCCAGCTCAATCGGAAATAATCATGCCCTGCAAAATGCACATAGGAATCTAAAAAAAGACAAAAGGGCAAACGAGCACAAAGATTAAAAAAGAGGGAAGCGAGACGATCAGACGAGCTCCCACTTCCCTTCCATGATTCCTTGCAGCTCCGTCGGCGCTCGCCCACCGACCAAACGCAAAACCAAGCCCGCCCAGCCATCGTGGTTCCTCGTAATTGGGGAGAGACATGCCCCACCGGCGGTACTTTCCTTTCCTTGGCTTGCGAAAGGTGCTGCTCGATTCCGGATTCTGACTTCTGAGGTGATTGCTGATCCGTTCGCCTTAACGGAGTACTAACTACCAGCCACTCACCTGCTCCAACGTGCCCGTGCCAGACTAAATCTGCTCATGCTAAGGCCAAGGGAAGGAAGTCAATTTGACAATTTGCCACATGAAGTTTGGCTCGTTTGCGATGTTCGTAAGCACTGCAGTGCAGACTTACGACTTGTCACTTGTCAGAGTCAGAGTCCAGGCCAGGCCAGGTCTGCCTCTTCCCCCCTGTTCCCTTTTTTTCGTTCCCCGTTTCGACTGGGAAGGATTCAGGGCTGGGTGGTTTGGTTGGTTCGGTGGCTGGCTGGTTTATTTTTCTTTTATTGATTCATTTTACTTTGGTTAGTAGGTTAGTGTTTGGCATTGCCCGCGTGGAGAGTCAGTCCCAGGGATCGGGAGTGGAGAGCTGCTTGCTCCATCCGAGGCTGTTGTGCCGTAAACATGGAAATTATCTGGTCCGTCCGTGGTTTCCTCCCGTGTCATCCAAATTATTCATTCAGGATTTATGTCATATTCATACTCCGTGTTCATATCATTAGTGCGGGCAATTGGGTGGAAAAAAACGTCATATGGTTTTTCTCATCTTACCCAATTTATAATGCATTGGGGTTTTATATCAGATCCATGCTCATATCGTTATTGCGGACAATTGAGTGCGTAATACGGACTGGACAACGTCATATATGGTTCTTCAATTGCTTCGTCCTCCATCTCCGAGACTTGTATCACCACAAATAAAAAAAAAGTTAAGTTCTGAATCAAATACACGAAGATGAAGTGAATTAAAACAAGCTTCATATCCATGGGCTCGATCACAGCCCCTATATCCCCGAATTATCCCAAGTATTGAATTAATGATGAGCCTGCCTGCGGTTGTCAAAATCAAACATACTTGAATCAAATGCATCCATATCTCGTGAATATCCCGGGTTCCGTCACGATGGGCCTGCTATCCCGGATAGCAGCTAGATATTGCTATATTAAGAATAAAAATTAAACAAAAGGTCATGAATCGGGTAAGAATTACAACAAATAGATCAAATAGATCGGAGGAAAAAAGGAGACAAGATCCGAAGGGTGTGGAAGAGTGAAAGAATGGACGAAGATGGAGAAAGCTGCGTCTAGCTTCGGAGACCAAATGCTTTTCTGATCTTAGGGAATCGCTTCTTGCGAGGGGTGGAATGATTGTCGGCCACAGGTTGTTGGCCGTCACTTTTCAGGCCTGAAAGGCCCAGGGGATTCTCGTTCTCTTTAGACACAGGGGCTACCCTGTCGCTCACGCCGTTTGGGCCGGCTCCGTCGGCCGTCTGGGGTCGTTCAGACCCGTAGTTGCCATTGATCAGTTCCTTCGGAGGGCCTCGAAGCGGCCAGCTTTCTCCGCCGGAGGATCGGTAGGCACCTCTCTTGAGGAGCTTGGGCGAGGCAGGAGGATCAGGGCTCGCCGTACAGGTGGTGACGGTATGGCCTTGATTTGGATCCAACGGTGGCTCCTCCCGCACATGGCAAGAATCCAGCTTGCCTAGTTTGCCGGTGCTTCCTCGCTCGGCCGAGGGCTTGGGTTTTCTAATGCTCAGGCGGTGGAATAGACTCGGTCGCCGTTCAATAGTAGGCCGACGGAGGAAGTCTTCCGCCTCTTTCTCGGTCATTCCGCGAGACTTGGCAACCGCGGCGAGCGCCGGGTTCTTGGGAGAGGCGGGCTCACTCGGTTTGCGGACAGCTGTAGGGGCTGCCGGCCGGTGTCGTTCGCCGTCCGAGCTGTCTTCCAGCTCGGTCGAGTCCCCGTCATCTTTGCCCGCCCGACGGGGGATGCCGCGGACCGGGCGGAGATTATTCATTTCCGGCTCGTCGTCGCTCGAATTCTCATAGCGGCTTTGCCACGGACGTACATTCTTGCCGGCACCCTGTTCCTCGTCGGAATCGGGATACCGAGACGCGAATAATGGCCCGGGCGCTTTGGCAACCTTGGCCTTTTGCATCTTCCCCGTAGAGAAGAATGACGGTTTCTCGCGCCGTCCCTCGTTTCCTCGTAGAGTCGTGCGGAGAGCACTGGAGGTGCCAGAACCCGACGACTGGGGCCTCATATCCGGAGGGGGCGACTTTTGCTGCATAGAGGACGCTGATTGCATGTGAGGGGGAGGGATCCCCCGCATGGTCCGTCGCATGCTATACTGCGGACTCGCGCGAGCTGGGCGGCTGGATCGTACGAAGCTGCTGGACGAGTCGCTCCCGTTTGACAGTCGTCGCTGAGAAAGATGAGCACCATTGCCATTGGCTTGCTGTCTTTCCTCGGCGACGGCCTCTTTGCTTTTAAGGAGACCTTTACCCCACGAAGTAGGCCTGGCTTTCGCCGGTTTCTGCCCAGCCGCAGACGACGAACGAGTTCCGCCATTCTGGCTGGCAACTATATCTTGAGGTGCAGGACCCTCGTTGGCGTCGGCTGACATGGATCGTGGGGCGGAGTTTGCTACCATCGATGGTCGCGGGACTTGTTCTTCCGTATTGCTCTTTTTGGCACTGGGCCGCGTGGGGGAAGGAGGGTAGGGAGAAGAGAATGGCAAAGGTTCTTGTGGCGAGTCAGGGGACCTTGCACGTGGTGGAGGCGAGGCATCTCGGACGGGCGTCTCAACGCGAGCGATCTGGCAGGCCTCAGGTATCTCAAGCGTGGAGTCAGAAGCTCGGTCACCAGCCCAATCATTTTTCGTTGACTCCTGGTTGGTGTCAACAAGGTCATCCTTGATCGGCCCTGCACTGCTGTCCACAATAGCATTGATAGAGCCAAACCCATCGCCGTCAAACCCCTCCTCGGCGTCACTGTAGATACTTTCGCCCGACTCGTCATCGGTGTCCTGATCTTGGACAGCATTGCCAACTGCCTTCTTGCCCTTGCGTCGACTTGAACTCTTAGATTCCAGTGAAGCCCGGGGAAAGCCCCCTGGCACCGTGCACCAATCGAGGCTAGACCTTTCCTTCTCGAGTTCCGGTGTCGCCGGCTGGACCGCGATCCCAGGCACATCAAGAGCAGGACTGGAGGTTGGATGATTCAATGTGTCTTCATGTACCGGATCCTTCGCTTCGTCCACAGATGAAATCTGGCTCGACTGATTTGGGTACGTGCTCTTTGTAGTAGCTTCGGCGGGCATAGTTGGTTCATTATGATCAGTAGTATCATTATGTTCGTTATGGGAAATGATTGCTCCGACGGCATGATCATTAGAGAACGACCAGTCCGGCGCTGCCAAATTAGGCTCCGACGAGGTCGTCGATTCGTTATCACTGAATTCGTGCCGCGCCGGCTCCGGTTGTTCACCATCTCTAGCGCCTCGTATACTTCCGAAGGAAGGCAGGGCGCGCCGCGGTTTGAGCACTTCATCGAATTCGTCCGGCACGGTCGCATCGCGCGCATGGGACTTCTTCTTGCCCAGTGCAAACCAATGCGATTTAGACTTAGCTTTCGAGCTTCCCGGGGGCGAGTCAGGGACAACCGATTCAGGTGACGTCGGCGGGCTGGCCGCCACTCCAACAACCTCTGCCTCGTCGTCGAAGCTGACTTTGGCCGTCTTCTTACGGAAGCCTTGCTTGGAGCCGTCATCGGACCCGACGGACGTACCGTCCGATATTTCACTGAGTGGCGGACCAGGTCGTAGTACTGCAGCCCGCCCGTCCGGCGATAATGATGAACTCATTCTCGAGCTCTTCATTGCCGACTTCACAGGAGATACCGATCTAGGCGGCGGCTTATGCAGATGTTCTCCGGGGAGCCCAGTCACGGACAACTGCGTGGAGAAACGGGTCGATCTGCCAGGACTGTTGCCGGCCTGTCGCATCGGCGACGGCTGGAGTCCACGGCCAACATCGGCCGAGCTTGTCGATTCCGGAGAGCTGACGACCGAGCTTGGCAGGGGTTCTCTTCTCGTTTCCGGTGTCTGGGGTGCCCTGGTTGTCGAAGGGCCCTCTGGCGTCACCCTTCCGGTTCGCGCGGTCGAATTGATCGTCAATGGAGCACTGGCCTCGGCTTGTTCTTCGCCCTGATAATCCTCGCGCACAACAGACGGTCGTTTCATCAGGGCGGGACGAGACGGAGACCCTGGAATCGATTCCCGAGTGTCCCGCGGCTCTGGTTCGCGGTGTTCCGTCGTGGCTGGTGGCGAAGGAGGAACGATGGCGGCCTGTGCCGCAGCAACAGCGGTGGTCACGGGCGGCGTACCCTTCCCGGGGCTTCCAGGACTAGAACTCCTAGTCCGTCTTCTAGCGGAGGTGTTTGCCGTCTGCGACGGGATACTCGGACCCTTGGAGGCATCCAGTCCGGCCAACCGGTCGGCCAGCAATGCGCCTGTCGACACATCGCGCCCATCGGGTGCCTCGGGAGAATGAGACGGAGAGGTGGGGCGCGAATTAATGGGGTAGGAGAAATTGACGGAACTCCTGCTCCCCGTTCTCTGGGCTTCGGGGACCGTATATAAGCTAGGACTCCCCGTTCGCATATTCTCACGGTCGACGCTCCCTCCGCGTCCCGACGGATGCTTCGCGGGGGGCGACGACCGCATTGGCACTCCGACGCTGACCGACCGCCGGACGGGGGCATCTCGCCCCTTATACTCTTTCGGAATCGACGGAATAGGCGGCGCGTTGTTCACCGGACCAGGCCCGGAGCTGGAGAGCGGACGACGAGGGGATTGTTCCCGAAAGGTCCGCGTGCTCATGGAATTCGAGCTATTGCTTCGACGAAGACTCGTACGGCTGGGGGAGCGCAGGGGTGCGGAGGCACTCGGTTGGGAGGAGACAGACGACTGCCGTTGGAGCATGCGCTTCGTCTGGACATGCTCGACGTCGGTGGGAGGGGGCGTCAGGTTCCGGAGGGCTGTCGCGGCGGCCGCGGAGGAGAGACTCGACGAGGAGGGTCGGGATTTAAGGAAAGCATGGCTGGCGGCGGACTGGGCGGATTGAGCGGACGAGGAAGATAGCGGCTGTTGAATGGGACGTTAGTATGGTCTGCTTCGATAGGAGTCCACGGGGGAGCGCCAAGCTCACGACGCACCTGATGATGATGCGACGAGCTCCTTCGTCGGCGGAACATGATTGATTCGAGAGGGAAAACCGCCGGTGTGTCGCCGTCAGGCAGACACGGAGAATTTGTGACCTCCCAACAATTGATTGGATTTTAAGAATGGCGGCGATGAAAAGAAACAGATGCAAAGTTCATCGACCGGGTAAAAGAAATCTGTTGAGTTGATAGAATAGCGAGAGAGAAGAAAAGTTTAAAACCGAGAGAGCGAGAGAGGTGAGAGATCGACGGGGCGGAAAACAAGGAGGTTCTCGGGGTCAAGGGGAGGGAGAGAGCGAGAGAGAGGAATCCAAGGAAAGGAAAGGGGAAAATGGGAGGTAATCGAAGGACGAGGACGAGGAACAATAAAAAGGAACGAAGCCAAAGTTCAACGGTGCAAAGTGAAACACGAGACAAGAAGAGAAGAAAGAGAAGTCCAGACCTTTTGCGTCATGTCCGGAGTTCCTCAGGAATCGCAGCCCACTGGATCAGGCATCCATTCCACTCCAAACTATAGTTATAACACGGACGGAGAACACCAGTTTTCACGGATAATTCATGCACACATGAATGCATAAACACAGGAATGTTTTCTCCCCCTTCTGCAAGGAGGGAATTATTCTCCGACCGTTGCCTCGGATGATCGATCTGCCTGATCGTTGTACTGCTATACATCATCCTATAAACACTCCATCTCCCCCTTCCCAGACTTTCCTGTCTCTGATCACTACGTACAGAGTAGTGTACTTCCCCTTGGCTTGATATTCAACCCTACATCTTATAAAATTAGATCAAATCAAACACCCCCCTCCCCTCCGATCTACACCCAACATGCCCCTCCCCCCGTCCATCTCCACCCGCTCCATCGCCACCTCCACTCTCAACTTCCACATTCTCGAAGCCGGTTTCACCCCATCGCGCGATCGCCCTCTGATACTGCTCCTGCACGGATTCCCCGAACTAGCCTACTCCTGGCGCAAGGTGATCCCCCAACTCGCCGATGCGGGCTACTACGTCGTGGCCCCGGACCAGCGCGGCTTCGGCCGCACCACGGGCTGGGACACGCGGGACTTCGACGCCGTCGACCTGAGCACGTTCTCGTTGACGACCTTCGTGCGGGACATGGTGGTGCTCGTGCACGCGCTGGGATATCGATCCGTGCGGTGCGTCGTCGGCCATGATTGCGGCGCCGTGACGGCCGCCATGTGTGCCCTGGTACGGCCCGATTTCTTCCACAGTCTGGTCTTGCTCAGTCATCCGTTCAACGGATCGCCTGGGCTGCCGTTCAATACGGCCAATGATGAGACAGCGAAGAATGCCAGCGGAGGAGGAGGTGCCGAGTCCGCGGCGGGCGACCACGTCCATGCCGAGCTGGCCACCTTGGGCAGGAAACACTACAAGTGGTATTATTCGACGGCGCCGGCCAACGGGGACATGACGGCGCCTGCGGAGGGTCTGCACACTTTCCTGCGAGGCTACTTCCATCTGAAGAGCGGGTCGTGGGCCGGTAACCAGACCTATCCATTGAACGGGTGGACGGCCGCCAACCTGTCCCGGCTACCGTATTACTATGTCATGCCGTTGGAGGACACGATGCCGCAGGCCGTGGCACGGCATATGGCGGAGGAATCTGAGGCCGGGGAGCGCGCCTCGCATGCCTGGCTGCCCGACGAGGACCTCGCCGTGTATGTGACCGAGTACGGCCGGACGGGCTTCCAGGGCGGATTGAACTGGTATCGGGTGCGCACGGCGGCCGGAGGGAAATACACCAAGGATTTCGAGGTGTTTGCCGGGAAGAAGATCGAGGTGCCGTGTACGTTTGTGTCCGGCAAGTCGGACTGGGGCATCTATCAGGAACCCGGGGCGCTGGAGAAGATGGCCAATGGCACCGTGTGCAGTGATTTCCGGACGATGAAGTTGATCGACGGCGTTGGGCATTGGGCACCGCAGGAGAGCCCGGATGAGGTTGCTCGAGTGATCCTGGACTTGGTGCGAAGTCTGTAGATGCTGTCGTGTCGAGGCTGTCAGCCAATCCCCGTGTTATATGTATGTGCGATATGAGATGTACGTAATAAGTTATGATTGGAATCAGAACAATTCCGTTTACCCTAGAAGAATCTCCGTGCAAAACAAATGACCTGGATGACTTAAAAACCAGTGATGTGAATTATGTACGTTAAGCATATATGCTCCATCGACGCCAGAAGCCCACACAGTGCCAACCAGCCGGGGCGGGTTGGCTTGATTCATCGTCGCATGCAGTCCGTGGAAAGGAGGGTAACTATATTGGGTATGTGATGTTGAAGTGGAAACTAAAGCACAAACATGACCAGAGAGGAGGGAAAGAGATGTGTATGTATCTACACCAACATCCACCCGATCACCGCGGCCATCAAGAACGGAATTAGGTTTCGAATAGCCTGTCTCGTCGGGTCCAAAGAGACAGCAGCGGATTTCAGCGATTCCGTAGTGAACAACGACTGGAAGGTGATGGCGCTGGAGTTGAAGCAGTTCTCGCGAGTGACCTCGGCGACATCTTCCGGTTCGGCGAATTCGATATCCACGCACTAAACAAAACAAAGTCAGCGTCGACCCGGGGAACTTTTGGAAATCATCCACACATACGTTGTATAAAGCCGCGCCGTGCTTGGCCAGTTCGATAACCTGAATCGTCGCTTTGTCACCAGGACTCACGCTGATGTTGGCCGGCAATGGAACCTGGGGGAGACAGATCGTGCCCGGGTAGGGATCGTTGGTCGGCCCTGAGATCTGGAATGGCGAGATCATCGGGTGGCTCATGTTGGGGGGCGTCTCTCCGAGACCCAGATTCATATAGATGAACGCCGTGGCGTGACCCTGGAACCAGCCAGGTTGGAGAGCAACGGCGCCACCACCGACAGGCCATTTGGTTCGGTTTGTAGACGTAGACATTCCACCGCCTATGTGAGGGATGAACTGTCAGCATCAAGTCTGCGTTGATTGAGGTGGGGTTTTAGGGGGATTTCGTCGTCATACAAGGATAGATCCATTGCATTCCATATGGGTAAGAGTAGGACCCATTGCTAAATGCCGCTCCGAGACCGTCGGTGGACTCGACAGTGCCGTTGGTATGCAGATTATTCCCTCGGTATCCAGGATAGGTGATGACCGTATGGGCATGCGATAAGCCCACGCACAGAAGTGCGACAAGGGCCGTCCATTTCGATAACGACTCGTGGAAGGATCTCATATTGGCCAGAAGGATGTGTCGAACACGATCTGAGACAGAGCGAGAGAAGGTTATTGTGAACAGAAGACCAGGAGAAAATGGGATTAGGAACACGAGAGATACAAGCGCCTCGTTTGTCCTTCTGTGTCTTAGCAGCTCATCCAGAGAGTCGTTTCAGGTCTCACAACTTGTGAATCTCACAAACGCTGCACCGTCCGCATGAATGATCACCATCGAAACAAGCTTCCCAGGACGGGAGGGTTGACAAGACTTTTTGAGGGGAGCAAGCCATGTCCCAGGTGCTGCAGCGGCGCTCACATACAGACTGTAGCGGGGAATGACCGACAGCCACGGACGAGTGAGCATGCAGGAAAGCGATGTGACCACACCTGCAGGTGGGAGAGCGGTTGACAAGGGGGAGGGGGACTGTCAATATCGACGAACGACCAAGACGAGCCATTCAGCATGGCACAGTGGCCAGCAGAATTCCAGACCGAGAGAGAGGATTGGCTCGAGGCAAAGGTCTGCTGCAAGAGATATCACCTTGTCTGGAGTGACAGGCGATTTCATTCGTGGAGACGGCGGTCTTGGAAGCGCTCCGATCGGACGCTAAGAGAGGGGATTCACGTCCGCCATCCCAGGGCCCGGCGCTTAGAGATCGACTGAGAAGGGTTACCGAGTGCTGATCCGAGTGTGATGATGGGTCATGTCACCGGTTAATGAAGGCGAAGTCTGCTATACCGTGGGCTTTCAGAGACCTGGGATGTTCGGAGAATCTCATCATTGTAACCCTAGATTTGGAGCACGTTGGGAGTGGACAGTAGCTCCATCGAGAGCGCCGAGTCATGCAGGGCTCCCATCACGCTCAAATATGCCCCATCAGTATCTGGGTCAGAAAGCAGCAGATACGATAGATGCGATTGCATTTCTGGATAGCAATGGCAGATGTCAGTAGAAGGAAAGGAAACACAGGAGGATAAACGGTGGACGGGGCTGCAAACCAGCCAAACACCACCCCCTCCTCTCCTTATCTTATCGCCGTAATCAATCGCATTTCCATTTCTCTTCCCTCAATCCCCGAATCCCCAAAAAATAAAAACCCCCCGAACGGTTTCAATTCGCCCTCCCTCCCCTGCCAACCTCCAGAATGCCCCACACCAGTCGCAAAAAGCCCCCTCATCACCAACACAAGCGCCTCCAAGTGACCGACACCAGCGGCTGGACACACGTTAGCACGAGCGGGAAAACCGCGCGACAAGTTCTGCGCACCACCACCCACCAACAAGACGATCCGACGCAACCGGGATCATTCGTGCCCGCGGAGGCCCCCTCCAAATTGACCGCGGAGGACCTGCGACGGCAATTCGAGGGCTATCGACAGCGGTGGGAGAGCTCGGATGCCTGTAAGGTGGTGAGCGAGACGTTACGCGCGCGCAGGACGCCCGACGCTCATGCTCATGACGGGATCGTGTGTATTGGATTGGGAAGTCCGAGTGGGTTTCTGAGAGGCGGGTGGGTGGATCGGAGAAGTGTGTCGATGTATCAGCTTGCTGGGTTGATGAGCGCGGTGGATTGGATGAGTGTGTTCTCCCTCCTCTTCCTACTCCTCCCCTGGCCACAATTTCAAAGGGCTGGGTGATTCTACCTAACGTTCACATGAGAGCTAACATGGGTATGTCCGCCCAAACTAGAAGAAACCAATCCCAATGTCACCGTCTACGCACAAGATCCCGTGTTCAATGAACTGGATAAATCCCTCCTCGCGTCCCTGGACATAACCGTTCTCGAGCATCCTCACGCCTTCGAAAAGGTCACACCCGCTACCTTCCTCTACTGTCCTGGCGCGGAACAAGCGCACCTGTCACAACTGCTCGCTTTGAACCCGAAGTCCTTGTTCGGTGGTCCGCTGGAAGAATTCGATTCCGAAGCGGTCAGACAGTATGTAGAGACGAGGGGGTCGGTGCGACTACCGCGGTTCCAGGAACAAGAGCATGCGTTTTGGAATATGCAGATCTATTATCCCGAGGATACGGGGGAGGATGACGACTAGGAGTTGTCATTACCGTAGGGGCTGAAACCATGCTACAGCCTGTCGGTATGATTCAGGTAGTATGAAACCCGATGCCCGGACCATGGTACGCAGGATACTAGTTGAAAGGAGGATATGTCTACGCGCTACGGTACCGGACTGGCAACATGAAAGAATGAGATATCATGGATTTGAAATGCTAACACGATATATACAACCATCAAAGAACCTGGGCTCAGCAATGAGTGCGCAATATAGAACCATCTTCAACAATCATGTGAAAAGAAAGAGGACATCTGGAACAGTCTGCAGCCGAGCACATTGCCCTAATATTAGATTACAATCCAAGGGGAAAAGAAAGATCAAACATCCGGAGCACCTTTCTGAAAGAAAAACATTAAGATGCGCAAGGGCATCGAAGATCCTGTGGTGACGGGAATCAATCATGAATAAAACCGCACATAGAGTAAAAATGGCCCGATCATGCATCATCGTTAGATGGAGAAAAAATGAGAAAGGAGAGTCGTGGGAATCATAGGAAAGCAAAGGCATGGGGTGATGTGAGATTAATCAACCTCCTTGCCGTCGCAGTCGGGAATCTTGATGCCGGGCTTGAGATTCCGAGCAGCATCCATGAGACCCCATTTGTCTTCCCATTTCTCGTCCTTGGTGTTGTACTGCTCTTTCCATGGTTCATCGAACGCCTCAAACCTAGATTGACTGTTAGAATCAATGTAGCAACCCAACGAAGATAACGAAAACATACCAGAAGTATTCCGTGCCATTGGACATAGCCTGGCAGACCCATTCAGACATGAACTTGTTCATCTCGTCTATACCCGCAACAGATCCGTCTGTGTCGCTCTTGCAATTGTCGTGCCCTTGGCCACAGTCGTTTCCTCCACCGCTGGGCCATCCCACCTCGGAAATGACTTGTTTCTTATCCTTGTCGTCCTTGGTGAGTACCACGTCGTTGTTCTGCCAGAAACTCCAGGTCCAGCTAGCCGCGTCATCGACATCGACACCAGCGAAGAACGGGTGGACGTTGGACATCACAACGTCCGTGTACTTCACAAGGTCCGAGTCCCAGTTGTCACCCAAGTCTGAGGTCGCGATCGGCAGGTCAATGTTATGTTTTTTGAAGTGATTTCTCACATCATCCATGTAGCCGGTCAACTTCTTTTTCGCGCTCGTCTTGTCCTTGCCTGCCCGGAACAGAGCTTCGTTGCCGACAATGGCGCCCTTGAAGATCGACGTATCCTTCGCGTTGTCAAGAATATTGTACAGGTGGTTGATCTGTCGGTCGGCGGTGGTGTCGTTGGTGTCGATCCATACGCCTAGCCAGAGTTTCATGTTCTTGAGCTCCAGTCGATCGATGGCATGCAAGACCATTTCCGTCTGGTTGCAATCGGTGCCATACAGCCGAACGGTGTTGGTCAGTTGCGAGATAACAGCCATGTCGCGAGTGACGTTGTTCTGCGACGGAGGGTACTTGAGACAGAGCGGAAACTGGACACCCCATGGGGTATAGTCAACACCGGGGAACACTTTGTGGAGATCTTTATTGCCTAGCAAGGCCTTGATCTCGTCCGAGTCCTTGTCGAGGTCGCCGTTCTTTTTCGAATCGCCCGACGCCGACTTCGTGGATTCTGTTGGGTCTTCTTTTTTGTTCTCCCGGTGGCCTATCGTTCCACCAACAGCGCCTCCCACAATGGCTCCGACAACGATGAACGCCAGTACGAGCCCGACTATCCACCCACGTTTCCGACTGCCCCCGTCAGGTTTAAGCCTTGACTTGTCCCCGGCCTCCAGCCCTGTTCCCGGAACGGGGTCATAGGACGGACCGTCGGCTTTCTTGCTTTTGAATAACCCTCCCAGGAATCCTCCCGCGGCCGCTCCACCTGCTGCCGCAGGCACCGCCCTGGACGTTCCGCCGGCAGATTTACTGTTAGGAGGCACAAAGCCATCGTCACCATCATCCAAGATATCATCCGGGTTGATCACGAGAGGGTAGTTGTTGGTGCTGTAGGTAGACTGTCGCTGGTACGGACCCTCATTGAGCGGACCGACGCCTTGATAAGGGCTGTCGAACAGGCTGCGTTGGGACGGGTTCGAGGCACCGGGGGTCAGCTGGCCGGCGGAAGCGGCAGCGGCGCCTAGGGCGACATTGGAGCCGTAGGATTGAGGCCGTAGATTGTCCGAACTTGCGTGGACGCCTTCAGGCGGGGCGGGGATGTAAGGGTTATCCGAACCGGTCGTGTGGTAGCCTCGTTCGGCGGGGATATTGTGCACCGGTCCGTCTGTGTCCCTGAAAGCGTCAACTCCACTCTGACGATCATGGGTATTGGCGACGCCAAGGGCGATACCGCTTATGCCGCCGCCCACAGCAGCAGGGCCTAGATTGTCCATCCCCGGGGTCGCCGTCGAATGCGTCCGCAGCGAGTTCGTATGGCCGAGGTTCTGGCCGTTTTCCGGCACTGACGCAAGACCTCGGTCATGGTCGTGGCCGAAGGTTTGACCCGGAGCTGACACAGGCGAGATGTCACCGTACTGCGCGGAGTTGCGCACATGCTGCTGACCGTCGTCCGGCGAAAGGACTGGCGAAATGTCTCCTCGATGCTCGGCTCCTACCGCATTATCATCGCCTCGATTAAAACTGAATGCCCGGTGGTCACCGGACATGCTTGTCAATTAGACAGAGTACTCTGGCGTATTTTCTTTTCTAGGGAGTCGTTCTATGGTCAATGATGGGGCGATGCGATGATGGAAGTCGATGAAGGCACCGAGGGGCCGAAGAAGGTTGTGGAAGGGAGGAAAGAAAAGAGATCGGAGAGGGCGGCGGGTGAATTAATTAATTCGAGAAAGATGGGCGACGGCTCTGAAACGCCAGGGACGCAGCCGACTATCGACCCACGGTTCCCAAAAATTTGACCCGGAAAGAGTTTGTATCACTCAGGTACGCCGTTGGACAGGCGGAACGGTTTCTTTTTTAGCGGACCAGATAGTACTAAGACGGTGGTCAGCGAGACAGCGCAATAGAGCATTCGAGAGGAGGTCGAAGTCTTTAGCGGGGAAGAGATGCAAGATGCGAGGGAGAAAGAATCTTAAGACGAGAGGGATGGGTGGACGTACTGTACAAATGTAATTGGCCGCAGTAATGATGCAAGTAGATCTTTTCTAGAGCGGGAAGAGATGGCAGGAAGAAGAAGAAGCAGAAGGGATGCGATGGGAAGACAAGGAAGAAGGGGAGGGAAGAGGGGAATTCGAATAAGCGCAGAGAGAAGAAGAGGGAGAGGGGAAGCGTGTCAAAGAATATAGGCCGACGAGAACAAGGCCCTGACTGCATCCGGAGACAGCTAGAGTTGATGGATGGTGGCGGCTGTGTCCCCGACAACCGACGCACGTACGGTAAAGCGTCCAGCGTCCAGCGTCAGCAGTGGCCAGCCCAGGGTCCCGTTATTACGGGGCGGGTGGGCATCCCCACTCAGCCCGGAGTAATGGGTTGTTCCGGCAGACCCTGAAAGCGTCGGTTGCTGGTCTGCTGCGTGCGGAACTTTCGGGCCTTTCTTTGTCTCGACTCTCGCGCCATTCTTCCCCATTGTTGCTGTGTGCTTCGTACGTAAGCTTTCTGTCTCGCCTTGGCAAGCTTCGATCCCCCTTTCTCGCTCCCACCGTCTATATAAGGGACTGTACGCGCGCGCCCTCCCTTCTCCACTCCTTCCTTCGCCATGGAATGACCGCCTAATTATCCGTGCCGTCGTAGCGCTGAACAGTGGATAAAACTGTACTAGTAACTACCAACTCCTCCGTACACCCTACAAAATACAGATCATTTCTGATTTGACCACCCTTCTGGTAGCCTCGTCTCTGCTTACAATGGTCGTACTCGCTACCGTCCGGTCTAACTGGAAGGGTCAACTGGCTCACAACGGTCTGAAACAGCCGACCACAACGAATCAATCCCGTGAGCCGTGGTGATTGACCTCCAGAGACGGGATCTATAAATATCCCGCCCTCCTCGCAAAGGGCTTCATCCCTCAAACTCTATTCAACCAAAGGCTGACCGACCTGCTGATCGAATCTTCCGTGATTGTACAGAGATCTAAAGTACGAACAGATCATAACAATATTAATTCATAGTAAATCAGGTCCCATCGTAATTTCATTCCCTCGTTTCCCTCGACTAGCGTTATCATCGTAATAATCATAAACAATCGAAACAACAAGACAAAATAAAGAGCAGAAGACCAGCCCTCCAACACCAAATCCGTCAAAGCCCCAAACCGCCATGCTGCCTACCAGTGATCCGTCTCTTGTAATTTCTATATACTTTACATAGCGGCCGTACTCGTAAGTGAGGATTAACATCGGTTCCGATCATGGTGCCTTGCCAATTAGGATGGAAAGAAAAGATGATAAAAAAAAAAAAAGAAAGAGAAAAAAGAGGGGGACAAATGAAAAGAAATGAAAAGAAATGAAAAGGGGGGAACTGTAAGAGAGAAAAAGGAATGAGACAGAGTAAAAAAGAGAATAAGAAAAGAAAAAAAGATGGGCGGGATCAGACATCGAATCGCGACCAGGGTCTGTTGCGAACTTGCGATCCATCGACCATCAAGCTTCAACTTCTTCGGCGCTACGCTGCGATGCAGAGAGCCGATGCGCCCCGCTGCCCCGCCCCGAAACAGTTGCCGCCCGTCTTGGCCGCTCCAGGAATCGTCGTTTCCCGGCTCGTGTCTCGAAGTGTCGCGGGATGGATGATTGTTCCTGGCCCGTCGCCAGCATCGTGCTGCGCATTTTATTGCGATACGCGTCAACTATCAACCAAGGGATAGGGGTTAGCATGTGTTACTGCATTCTTCCGATCCCTGGCGGGAAGGATGGCCATGGTGGCTGCCACGGGGGTTGTCCCGCCATGTCCACGTTCAAAGCAAGGGGCTGTCGATGAGAGGGAGGGGTTCTTATCACGTACGAGATCGCTGGAGGAACAACATCCTCCCTGCAAAAACCCGACTTTGGCTCCAGCTCATCCGATAACCCAAGTCATTCAACAACACTTCCTTCTGGTGGCGACTCCGCGAAAGCTTGGGCACGGCAATGTCACTCTCTCCGTCAATCTGGGGTGTTGGCACGAGGACCCGTCCCACTGTCGCGCTCTCCTCATCGTCCTCTACCTCGGGGTCGTCCTTGATGTATCTTCTTCCCGGCACCACGCGGCCGGGAGGATTCTTCATCTGCACGGGGAAGTAGGTTCGGGGGTAGACTGCGTTGGAGTTCCGATATGAATCAGGGATCTCATCCATATCGACTTGATCAAGCATGACCTTAACCCGAACACGACATCCTCGCTGATTATCGTCCACCAGTATGAATTTGCGGCGCTTGCCCTCGGGGAACGTCCCGAATAGGGCGTCGTTGCTGGGATCATGTTCCTCGTCGTCGTCATTCTCGTCCAGCTGACCAAGCTTGCTTGATGATGTGGCGATCGTTGGATGCCGTCCGAGGGCTGCTATGCCGCTGTCTCGGATAAGGGGTGGGATCGAAGGGCCTCTCGAGACATCCACGGGGGTAGGGAATGCAGGGTAGCCGTGGAACACCTGTGCGCTGCGTATGTCGGTTGGTGTATGTCCCACTGAGGGATGGACTTCCGGTCCACCTGGGCGATTGCCGCCGTTCGTGAAGTCAGTGGTGCCTATTGTATGGAAAAAGTGCAATATCTTGAATTAGCCTACACTGAACAAGAAAAAAGATCACGATCCAGATGTGGAAAGGGTACGAAACCGATGGTAACATAACAAAAAGAACATGATAGGGTATGGTAAACTAGGAGGGAATAATAGAAATAAAGCACAAGGACCTCCCCAAACAAGATAAAATACATGGAGAACAGTGTCCACCAAGCTAAGAAAAGAAAAGAAAAGAAAAAGATGCACTCCCGGCCTTGTTGTGCTATCCTCCGAGCAAAATAGCAACGAGCCGAGCAGTACGGGCAATATGATACTGAGAAGAGCCGCCATAACGAAGAGAAAGTGCGGCAGGATTGGGCACATCAGATATGGTGGAACATACCGCTAACTTCCTCATTGCCTGTAGTTCCTTCGGGCTGCGCGTGATGATGGTGTAGTTGTGGGGGACCCATGGGCAGAGGCCCCAGCGGAGGAGGGCGAGGGGCGGGCGCTGCCATGCTAGGCGGCCCGGGCATTGCGGGACCAACGGGCGGTCCAGTGGCCATATGACTCGGCGGAGGGGGTGGAATGTTTTGCCTTCTGTTAATCTTGGCCATTCTCCTCACGCGTCGGCTTCGGAGTCTAGGGTCTTGGTTGCTGTTTCGCCAGCTATCAACGGCGCGTTGAATCAGCCCGCGTTTGCCTCTCAGCGCGGGATTGAGCTCCGCCAGGGCCCAGCCGACAGCATTGCACTCGGTCTCGTAGACCAAGCGGTTACCTCTATACTGATCCTTGCTGCAGCAGGCTCGAGGGTAGACGCAATTTTCTGTCTTGAACTCTTGGCTGAGGTTATCCACGTTAACAGACTCAACATCACAACGGATGGTATACTCCATTTTTACGCGATCACGAGAGTACTCGAAGGCAATCCACTGGACTCCGTTGCTATCCTGCCGTACCACAAGTGGAGTTGTCGCTGGAATCGGGCCCGGTGCGGCACTGGAACTTGCTCCAACGGTCGAGTTCTGATGATGGATACTGTTCGCAGAAAGGGGGCCACCGGTTGACGCAGGGAGTGGTGGGTTCAGAACTGCCCTTTGTGGAGGGGTGTGCTGCTGTGTTGTGGCGGTACTTGGGCTGGTCATGGCGCTTGCTGGTGCCTGAGCAGGCTGGTGCGGGATTTGCGCACTGCTGGTCTGGTGAGCCAGCATCAACGGCTGGGAGGTAATCGGATGTTGCTGAGGAGAGGTGTGCGTGGTGTAGGGTGAAGGCTGAACCGGGTTGATCGGCTGATATGACTGATATGGATACATCTGGTGCGATACTTGGGGGGACTGGGCGTAAAGGCCTCGGCTGTGCTCGTGAGATTGAGAAGCTACCGATGCAGGAGAACTAGATTGTGGTGTATGATAGATTGGAGGATAAGGCCTCTGCATCTGTGTGGTTGTCGCCATCATTTCGGGGGGAGCTAGGCTTGGGGTCAGTGACTGCACGGTGACCAGAAAAAACCGGCCAGTTTTAGCGGTTTTGCTTCGTGGAGTTTTGCGTACCACTGGATGGGTATTGGCCTGATGCGCTCGTCGTACTATAGGAAGAATGAGACGAGTAGTAAGATGGCTCCTGCGAAGGTGGTCCGTATTGATGCGGCTGATGAAGAATGCCGTTTCCCAGGGCGTGGGGTGTGTATGACACTGGCGGAATACTGGTACTCGGCTGATGCGGAGAACCAGGCTGTTTGTGATGCTGAACAAGGTTGGCTGTTCTCGGGAGTTGAATTTGAGGGTGTTGTGGACCGTGATGCGCAGCTGAGTGTCGAAGCTAAAAGAAAGAGTCGATTAGTGTCGCCAGCCTTTTTCATTTCCTATTCTTGGCCCCAAAAGAAATCATAACAGGAAGATGCTAAGCCAACAAAGGAGGTGCGTATTCTGTGCTGAGGAAATCTTTGTAAAAAAGAATGAATGGGCATTTCTCGAGGGAAGTCGCCTGTCTTAGAACTCTGGCCCAGAGGTCACAGTTCAATGTCTGTGACCAGCGCTGTCTGGCTTCAATGCAGCTCTTGCGCAAAGGGTCTCCGTGTATGCAACACGTGGTGCAATTGCAGCAAACAGAGTGATTGAAAGACATCCGACATGTTCAATGAGATCCCTTTTTGTCCAGCATTGGCCTTCGGAGCTGCTGGTGTATGTAGTGCAACTCAAGTAAGTTGGTCCCAAAGAAATTACAGAGCAGTGAGTCTGCCTCTTGCCTGCTTTCACCACGGAACCTCCATCAACTCTCATACATCCATTCCAAAATTGGTGGGCATGCAAGCGGCCAAGAATGGCAATGGATTGGGTGGACACACGGGTCTCAAGTGAACAGCCATGATCAGGGTTTCTTTGAAGATTCGCAGTGGCTGCTGCGCAACGATGCCAGGTGTTTTCCGGTGGAGTTTAAAATTACTGAAATGGGGGATGAAAAGCAAAGGCTGAAACCTGGTGCTTGGGCAACGAAAAAAAGGGCATTCCTGTTCCAATAGCGGAGGACACCCATGGGAGTAAACAAGGATGGTCGTTCCCTGTGTTTTGGAATGGAAGGCAAGTTCTTTTCATCTGGGAATAACCATGCCAAAACAACTGGGTATCCCTGGGACAACCCCAGCACAAGATGATGGGGAGCGAAACAGAGAAGGGGGAAGCAAGAGAGAAAAAAAAAAAAAGGAAACGCTGAAAGAAGTTTGCAAGAACAACTATGGTCTGAATGAACTCACGGGATCGTCAACAGGGTCGTCTTTGTATTTTGACGCAGTTGGATGAGCTAGGTCAGTCTGAACCATGCCGGTCATGACTGACCTCGAATGTTCGGGTTCGAGCTTCTGTCCCTCCTTCCAGTGATCTAACCCATCCACTGCGAGGATATCAATTAAAACCGGTTCAGATAGAGCTATATCGATAAAAGAGAAGATCTGGAGTGAAGGTATGACACGGGAAGGGCAGTGGCTTTTTGAAAAGGAATATCAAAGTTGACAAGGTGAGAGGGTCAAAGCGGAAGAGAGGCTGAACAACAATGGTCGTGGTTCGTTGGTCTGTAGTTCAAGGCTGGGGAGGATAGTTTCATGAAGATGGACCTTGTTAACGGTGCGATGCGAGTGCCAGTGTAATGTGGAGGGTCCAGGGTCGTTATTTAGCTGCAATGGAGACCCATCCTTCAGGCAGACAGACATCCAAAGATTATGGGAACCATGCCGAATGGGGAATGGAGGGGTTGAGGAAATCAAATGGGGAATAAAAAAGAATAAAATTGAGGGAGAGAAAAAAAAAATGAGAACAAAAAAAAAAGAAAAGCAAGAAAACAATGGGGAGGGGGAAGGACAGGATAGCGTCAGAGGGATTCACTGAGTGGTGGGGGATATCAGAATGAGCTTGTAACTAGCGGGAAGGTGGTGTAATATTGGCTAGGATGGATGCAGGACGCAGGAGAAACGACGCGAATGTGACAGCAGCAGAGTAGCATGTAGGCTAGACTACTCGAAGAAGATCAAGCCCAGAGCTTTGACTGCGCCGTTCCCGATTAGATGTTAGGGAAGGATGATTTGCAGCGTGCATCGACGGTGGAAAAGAGAGACGGGGGCACGATAAAAAAAAATAAAAAAAAAAAGGGACCCAGAACTGATCCAAACCGAACGAACCTACCTAGTACAGGGCACTTGCTTCAAATCTAGTAATCAAATCCCTCGATCTTGAAAATGGCGGTTTCACACAATTGGACTGCGGGTAAATCAATCGGTTCTCGTCGCTCCTTTCTTGCTTTCCCCTCGGCGATACCAAAAGAAAAAAGGTAACGCGATGATTGGCAAAAGAGAAAGAGTGTGCTTCCTTGGAATTTTTGAAGATTGGCCCAACCTTTCTTATTGGAATGGGGGGAGGTTTTAAAAAATAAAATAGTTCCGAATATATAAATAAGATTTAAAATCGGACGAGAAAAAAAAAAGAAAACAATAATAATGAATTATTAAATCCACGGCCAGCAGAGAAAAAATTAAATAAAATGGGATAAAATAAGATGACGAGAAATTAATTCGCAGACAAAGACAAAAGACAGGAATCGGAGTAAGCCGCCAGTGAGCTGACAACAATTTATGACCATAAGGGAAACCAAGCCAGCGTTAGTCTAGTTATGCTGGTTTGCTTTGGTTTTTTAATTATTTTTTTGATTTCAATTTATTTTATTCTTTTTTCCTGCCCCAGGACTTGTCGGACATCGAGGTCACTCTGGAGAAAAGATACCAAGGATAAATAAAAAACAAGAGTCGCCCAGGAGCACCTTACTACTACAGGGCTAGATTATCATAAGTACCTACAGTACGGAGTACATTAAACGACTTGATAATCAACAGACCCAAATGGATCGATGCGCGGAGGACTGTTGATGGACGCTAGTCTAGCCCACTCGAGAATGCTGCTACTGGTAACACTTTCGCAATTAAGTATGTATGATGATAATCGTGATAAAACGAGGCCCATTGTAGCATGCACCATGCAGCTAGAGAACTGCAAACATTTGCCATGTATTGTTATCATTTATAAATATCCCATGGAGTGGCTACAAAAGTGTGTGGGTGTCTGTGTGTATATGACTAGGGGGAGTGGCCATAGTTGATGAAAGCTAGGGCCAATTCATGTTAAATCGAGACCTAAAATGCCTCTCTTTGACACTAGAGCACTCCGTTTTCTCCGTAATACCGAAGTAGTCGGCGATCAACTATGATTTGATTTAGAGTGCGAGAGGCATTTTTGATCGAAATTTAAAAATAAAATTAAATCCCCATTGATATTTGGTAGACCAACGCCCAAGTTTCTTTTAGGTTTGAGAGGAGGGTAGATGAGACCGTCTGGAAGAATGAAGATTGGCGCCAGGAGGAATAGGCACATTACGGGAGAAACCAGCTAGTGTTTTAGCGTAGAAAGGCCCTCAATTCTTCTAGCAGTGCCGCCTATCTTCATAACAGGAAATGGTCGAAGTTTAGAGGGTCAACGTTGGATTCTAGGTTAGATCTCGCAGAGCCCGAACTCAGGTACCACACAGTCAGCATGTTTCACTCACACGAGCAATTTTCGAGGCCTCCCAGCCCCTCTTCTGCCAGCGACCACAAATCGAAGAATATGTCGGCATAGCCATGATCAGTCTTTGACAGGGACCAGCATGAACAATGGCGCATCAACGTTGAGGATAAAAATAAAAGATATCAAGACAACCCCTCTTTGATCTTCCAAAACACCGCCGTGCCCTGACAGCCTGCTTACTGTGTACATGTATGCCTCCACTTAGTGTGCATGGGCCTGTGATTCTGTATCCGTGGATCGTCCAGGTTACTACCTGAACCATCCATATGACGATGGTGGTGGGTGGCCTCGATGGGCTTGACTAGCAGGAGAACGGAGAGTCGTACGGAGTATACATGTTTCTTCCGTCGAATTTGCCACGACTTTGGCATGAAATCACTGCTATCGAAATTTTAGAATGTGATGCGATCCCAATTTTCGACCCTCTCTATCTGCGGCGGGCGGCCAGTATAGCCGTATGTACACCCTCCGTAGGTTGTCATTATTTTTATTTTTATTTTTATTTTTTTTGTTCGCCCTGGCAAACTCAAAAATACCGACTCGATCTTGTTACATTCCGGTATGGAAACAGCCGATCTGACTTGCTGCTGGTCAGCCTTGTTCCCACTGGATCCCACAGGCGCCACACGCCAAACCCACCCCTCCCGAGGCCGCCTTCCACTAATCATAGGCCGTCATCGGGTGAGGGCGAAGAATGAAAGACACACACACACACACACACACACACACACACACACACACAGTACGGAGTACGCAGTACACGCACATACTGGCAGTCTGGCACACCCCCCATGATGAGATTGTTGACAAAAGAGTAATGCAGTCCAAAGACACACCCCCCTCCCCCGGACATGTCCAAATAAACTCGAAACAGCCTAACGGTGTCCGGCCGGATGATTCACCCACCCCTTCTGCCTTCTGACTCCTCTCCCTCCTCCCATTACTGGAAAGATAATACCTGTGTAACCCAAGGCCGTGGGCGCAGGACTGCTGATCAATCACAGCCATCCTGGTGGGCTTTTTACTCCTGTTGCTTCCCGGCGACTAGTCTCCTGCATCGTGCGTTCACCACATTGAGAATGATGAACCTACTATTCCCTACCTACCCATGGACCATCCCCCCTCCTTGAACAATGGCCAAGCCGACGTTGCCCTAGAATAAGCCAGCATTATCGAGACTTCAAGCACCATCCTGCCCGCAACCTCGACTG